GTAGAAAATGCCTTAAGAGAAAACAACCAATCTAAAAATAAAATTAAAACGAAAATAGCAAAATTCACCAATTAAATTATGCTTCTAATCATGGCCTTCACTTTTTTTTGCATTAAAAACGTAAAACACTAAAGGTATCACAGCCCTAAACGGGTGATAGTTGCTCAACTATTAACTTCTAATTGTATTTAAACTTCTTAAATAGAGGTAATTTTAAATATTTCATTTTGTGAAAAACAAGTTGTTTACTGCTATAGCTATATGAATTAATGCGTTGCTTTTTGATTACCTAGTTCTTAGAAATAAATATCTTTATCTTATCTAAACTCGATTTGAATAGTTTATGATAAGCATTTGTCTTTTAAAAATTTTTAGGACTTTTTTTCCTGGCCAAAAAAGTGCACATTTTTTCTGGTTTATATTTTATTATATAAAAGTAACTTGAGTAAACTGTAAAAGTCATTTCTATTTTACACGTAACGCTTGATTATTATCACTCCAAGTCAAATTTTTTGCACATGACATTTTCTCGCTAATAGGCCTTTAAAAACGCTTTTGTTCATAAACTATCGCCCTCTAATTTTTGTTGTAGGGTAAGCAGTGTTTAACATAATAACACATGTAAGTTAATATTTTTTTAACCAACTTTATAGTTAAAAAACCGTTTAAAGTCTAATAGACAGTGTTAATAAAAGTTAAGCTTAAACATATAGTAGCTGTGCAGCGTAACAATTTAGAGGTTTCTTCCTAAAGGTTTTACGCCTCTCTAAGTACATTGAAATTAAAAATATATTATTCGTTCCCTAAAAGGTTTTTTTTTTACACATCTCCAATTTAAATACTACATTAAAATTTATAATATTTAATTCATAACTATTAAGAACGGTAATGATAGACACCTACCAAGTTTTTTCATGTAGAGAACTAAATGAGAGAATGAAAAAGGCATTGCTTTAAAAGTAGTCAGGATAGGATAACTTTTATAATGCTAACTCAAGGAAAGTTCTCAATGGTTATTTTAAACATATAACTTGGAAAATATTGGTGTTAAGTTTTTCGATAATAAGGCAAACCACCTGTTCTTTTTTTACCACATGGCTTTATTATTTGTACTTACTGTTCCTGTCATTGGTGACCTCTTACTCCTAGCATAACTGCATTGCCTAATCTTATGACTAAGCAAGCCTTCAAGGTGATGTAACTTTAACTTGATATTACGCTTGTAATTATAGTGTTTTATAAACAATATCTATACTTTTTTATAGCTGTAAAAGTACATTCTTCGTTATTTGATAAATAATAGATGTTTTCGAGTAAAAGTACAAGCAGTATTTCTTATATTAGCACTCGTGAAAGGCAACAAATGATTATATGTATAATAATCACTACACACCTTAAGCTACCTTAAAAAAAGTTACAGTTAAGTTTTTTAGACATTTATTTAAAACCTAATTATTTATTTGCTGTTTATAGGTCATTATTACAATTAGACATTAAATAACAAGAATATTCCGTTGAAAGTAAAAACAATACAACTAGGTTTTTTTTTCAATTATTTTTATAGTAATTTAACTATATTATAATAAAATTATATTTTCTTTGACTGTCATCGTAAAACTAATAACTTACGCTTGAACCATCAGCTCTTCCAGTTTAGCGGCCAGCACTTAATGCAACTCCCGTTTTTGTTTTAGTTTTCCTTTCACGTACAATATCTTTCCGGTGACTTAGTAAACTACTTTGACAAAATTACGGCTTCATATAGTTACAGTTACATCTTATAACAAAGTTTTACTAGTAAAATTCGGAGACCAAAGGTGCTTCACCTATCTTTATCGTCTTCGTTTCCGAAAGCTTTTATTGCATATACTCATCTAAGTCTAATCATCCAAGAGAAATTCTCTGTAATTTAAACCAATTATATAGGTTTTAATACACCATTATAAACTCTAGATTAGGGCCCAAGAGCGAGGGAGTTCGGCCTTGGTCTATCCTGAAACTTTACTACTTATATAACGAAAATAGAGGTAAAAAAAATAATACAAAATTGGGCTGTGAACAGAATATAGTCGCAGATAAGATAAAAAAATTAAATAGGATTTCCCCTATTTACCTTTTTTTTAATATTAAATCTATTTACCCAATTTTTTTTTAAAAAAGGACCTAGTACACAATTAATCATTATTTTATCAGGTTAGTGAGTTACTGATAACTGCTAGGTAGATTTATATTCCTTTTGTTTTTGAACTAATTTTTTGTGCTATACTTACTATTAGTGGACTAAATCTTTTAGGCAGAATGGAATTGTGTGACTGAGTCAAGCTGTATTTTTTAATGCATTCATTGGTTGACTGTAATTACTCAGGGCGTTAATTAACAGATAGCAGATCAGCTTCGTGAAGTAATATAGTAAAAACAGAACAGTTTAAAAATATACTGTCTAACGCTAATGAGCTTAAGTTATGCTTAAAAAATATTTACTTGTCTGAAAGACAACTGAGCACATATAATAAAAATGAATATATTGTTACAATATAATATTATGTTGACAAACTAAGTGCCAACAAACTATACTGAATGAAAGGGGGCTCAATTAAATCTATAATTATAATAAGAGGCTAGGTGGAAAAACATGAAGAAAATAATAAAATACTAAAATCTCATTATTAAGAAACAATTAAAACCTGAGCTCTGCCAGGATGCCATGATGAAAATGTAGACCGCCCGGGTCTCAACATAGACTGGGAGGACTACCAGCATGGTTAAGTTTAATAGTATATTCCATCTTAGTTTTATTAATTATAAAGTTCTCAGCTCGAAACTTAAATTTTCGTCGATTGAAAAGAGTTAATAATATTTGCCATTTCATATTTAATCTTATACAGTCATCTACAAGGTGTTCTTACCACAGTCATGTAAAAGCTCATTCTAGTTTACTGCCTCGATGGTTGCCATTAAGAAACACCCATAAGAGATAAGAATACTTTACTAAGTTGATTTGTTTTTAATATCATTATGTTTTTGTGAAGGTACTTCCCTCCTACAGGGCACCGAACACGAGGATCTAGGTAATTAAGCGAGTTGCTGTTTTGTTTGTTTTTACAATTTCTGGCTTTATTCATCATTGGACTATATAATTATAAGAACTAACGTGAAATACATTGTTCGTCTTCATCAAGAGCCTTGATTTTTGTCTTTTAATTTTTTTTAGAGGGTTGACAAGGTTAATAGAACGATTATGCATTATATAGTCTGAACTTTAATGGAGAGGGTTAGCTGAAAGTTTATAAGGGTCTTGATGACTGAAACAATCTAGCCATGGCTAAGAGTAGGAATCTCCGTCAAAAACGAATGCGAACCTCTAAAGTAGGTATGATGAATTGTTTTAGTATATCTCTAACAATTGACGGATAGAATCTATAGTATAATAAGGGGATCTGCAGTTAATAAATTGGCATTATCATAGGTAATTTTGGTTAGAGCAGGCGATTTTTACGGGGAGTAAATTACCATCTCTTCGATGTATTAGGTAATCCGCGTGAGGGTGTTTTAACTAGCTATGGTACATCGCATATATAAAGTGCAAAGAGCAAAGGTTATGGAGGAGATTTTTTTTAATATCGCTGCTGTTAATAGCTTTGGGAACAAATGTGCATCGTTCACACGTGTTTAATTGATGTGGTCCTAAGAGTAAGTTTTAAGCGCTTAGAAAAGAATAGAAGAATGGCACCGACGTGGATATTTGTAAAGCAAGTTTTGTGTTAAACTTGGTCAAACACTTTTACGACATCAGGAAAGATGGCGCCTGTGGCCTCTTTGAAATCTAATGCACAGGTCACCCTTTATGTCAAACGAAGCTGTTATATCGTTGAACGTCTAGCCGAAATTCAAACGAACTCTCCGAGTGGAAATAGCTTTCACTACTAGCCCTTTAAAGGAGTGCAGTATGGAGGTTTCATTTATTTTGCTAACTGCCGGGTCTGGTAGACCAATATTTTCTGGGGCGTAGAGACTAAATAGTGGTCTCTTTAGGAGCGTTACAACAGTATCCCTCTTCCTAAGCGGCGGAGAGGAATCCAGGGTCACCGTCGAGATGATTCGCAGCACCGTCGGTCTTTTTTTCAGCATCACTTTAATTAATGTTGTCAGGGCGGGCGTCGTCACCACCCCTCGAAACGTGGCACAAGGAATTTCTGTAGTGGGTTGCGACTCAGAGGTTACTAGGATAAGAGTCTTCAGTTCATTAAGCAGACGATTAAGGAGGTATTCAACTTTACCTCTCGTGGTGCTAATGTGGTACTTCGTGATCATAGCGCCTTCGTATTCTGCAACAGCATTGTTAAGGCGGCTGTCGTCGATGACGCCAGTTATGACAGGAAGGTCACAACGAGGTACTCGACAGATCGGGCCCAGACCCCAGAAACTTTTTTTTTAATCTCCTAGCTTTAAGCAGAACTAGCATATGGCCTGATAAAGTGCGTAAAGAACCTCTGCTGCCGTTGGAGGAAAATTTTTTTTTAATAATAACGTCGATATCCATCTAATATGCACATACCACACTTACTATATCGTACTTAACTAATAGCTAGCGTCTGAACTCCTTTTGTAATAACAATAGCCAGTTTTAAATAAAAAATAGATTAAACTATAGCATTTTTTGGGCGCTAACATAATGCAATATATATGTAAAAAACTTTATTACGCAATCTGTTTGAAAAAAATACCTTTTTCAAAATTTATTTTCTTAAAAAGTTCTTAGTTAACATCAATATTCTCTGTCGAAATGTGATCTTTTAAGTTGCTTTTACGAAAGCTTTATGCAGAATAGTTTTTAATGACAACTTTGTGTTAAACTTAACACATATTAACTTTATTAATAAAATATGACTTCTTAGAGGTTTTTAAAAGTTGTATAAATTTGCAAAGTATCTCGCTAAAATCATTTTCCACGGCCTAAGTTTCCCTACATGTCAGTTATTTAACAAAGAAACCTCAAAGCACGTGATTATAGTTGTTTAAATTGAATAATAGTAAACAGCCATTTACTCGCAACTTAAGTAGACTTTTATTTAATTTATGATAAATTATACTATTTTTTTTATTTATTAAAGTTATGATGTCTTATTGTGGTACTTGTAAAAATATTACAGTACTTGGAGCAGGTTTTTCTTTATTTTTCTGTTAAGGTTAATCTACATCCACAAACATTTAGGCGCTTTTGGGACCGCAATGGCTGTAGTGGCTGCTAGAAATAATCATAAAGTTATTTTACTTTGCCGTTATCAAGATCAGGTTAATTTATTACGATAAATGTTTTTGTTATATTAAATATTACTTTGGATTATTACTTTCGTGCGAAAAAAGGCGGATTATATTAATAACCATAACGTCAATCCTATAGTTTTTCAGGAATACACACTTTCACCTTTAATAAAGGCTACGTCCTCTGTAAACGAGGTTTTATATGTAGTACAATTTTTATATTTTTAATTTTAATAATAAAGTTTTATTAATTTTTTTAAAAAAAGTTATTATGTCTTCAGTACAAATGTTTTAAATACTTACGCTATGTAGACAAAAGTTTATCCTTTTTTTTTACTTTATAAGAAATATTAATTATGAAAAAGATGGTTAATTTCTGACTTATATATTTCTTTATATATTTATTAGCAGTGTACTATAATGTTTAGTTTTTTTTTGTACTAACTTAATAGATCATGTTTACTATTATTAATTGATGTTTTATACAAAACATAATATACTTTATCATATTATCATGTTAAGTTTAAGTTATGTATAACTAAATAAACACTTTAATTAAGTTAATCTTGAATATTTATAATTTTTTAATTCTTTAATTTATTATAAAGCTTTGCTTCGTTTATTTAATTTCTAAAGTTTTATTACTAGAAATATTATGAAAATTTATATATTACTTTTTTAAAAAGTATTTAAGTAACTTTTAACTGGTTGGATCAATTATTTATCGTTGAAAAAAGTTTATTTTACCCCGAAAGATTAGTTTAATTCTAAGTAATTAACAATTTAAGTTGATTAATTTTTTTAAAGGCTCTAGCCCATCCTGATCTTGTGATTCACGCTATACCCGTACAGCAATCTTTTTCTTTTTTAAAAGAAATTTCTAATCTACTTCCAAAAAGTGCGCCTGGTAAGATTTTGCTGAAAGTAAATTTAAGTTAACTCTTCTACTTATTAAACTTATTATAATATATTTATTAATTATTTTTTGTATATAAATTTACTTTAATTTTTTAATTCAGTTGCTTTTATATTATATATTTTATATTGTCTAATTTAATTTTTTTCATTCCAATTTTTAATTTGTTTTGAGTAAGTAAAATAATAATAGATCTTTTGCAGTACAATTTTTTTAAACTAATCTATAATTAATAGTTTAATTTAAAACTTTTGCTAATTTTAATATATCTATAACTTATATTTTTATTATTACTTAGTTCTTTTTTATTTAATACTTGGACAAGTTTGTATTATTAGAATATTATGTTGATAAATAAAAGTTAATTTTTATAATTTTTAATTATTATTTTTATCATCTAAATTTTTGAATTTATTTCAATTCAATTTCACTTATTAGTTAACTCTAATTATATACCACTTTTTTCACTTTTTTTAATTATGAATTTACTTTTTTATTATAAACCATCTTATTTTTTAGATAAATCTTTTACTTATTATATAATTTATATATTTTGCTTTACTTAATATGTATTTTTTAAACTTTGAATTTATTAGTTTCATTATTTTATTAACTGAATAAAGATTTTTTTAATTTATTTTAGTAATTAATTTATAATTAATATCTATAAGTTTTGTTAATTAATATATTTATTTTTTTGGTTTATTATTATTATTATAATTTGAAATTATTTTGAACTAATTTTTATTTTTTATATATAAAAAAATAAATATTATTTTTCTTTTAGTATTTTTATAATTTTTTGTTTTTGGTTTTTTTGTTGCTATTTATAGTGTACAATTTTTTTAGTGTTATCGACTAGTAAAGGGATTCATGTTGAAACTGAATTGTTGATGTGCGGGGTAACTTATATATAAACTTTAAATTTTGTTTATAAACTTTTTTGCTATTAAATTTTATTATTTATTTTTTTCAAGTTGAAGATAAATAATATGAATTTGTTTTTTTTTTTTATACTTTGTGTAAATATTTTATTTATTAATATATATTTTAAATATATTTTAAACTTTAAATAGTTTTTACACCGAAATCTGTTGATCGTTTTTAATTCCTTTTTGTTAAGCTTTATATTATTAACTTTAAATAATTTTGATAGCTAATTTAGAATATCATTTTTTTAATTATTTTTTTTTTAAAAACTTCCTATTAAACTTTTTATAATTTATACAATTTTAATTCTGATTATATTGTAAACTTTTTATATTATAAACTTGTCATAATTTTTTATTAATTCTTATTATTTTTTATAACTTACACTTTTTACTATTATTATGTTTAATTGTAATTATTATTGTGTAACTTTTTTTAATCAATTGACCGTTTTTTTATTTTTTATAAAATTTTTGATTATAATTATATTTATAACTGATTCTCATTAACTTTTTATATAAACCATAAACTTTAAATATATATTTTTTAAGATTTTGGACGAGGTACTGGATGAAAACCATCCGACTGCTTTTCTTTCAGGGCCGTCTTTTGCTAAAGAAGTGATTGCGGGATCCCCAACAACAGTAGTGATTGGTTCAAAGTAACTGATTTACTTATTTAATTTTTTTGATATATTATATAATAATAATGTCAATTAATTTTATGATTTCGGTTATTATCTTGATATTTTATTACGATTTTGGTTATAAATTTTTTTTAAGCTTCTGTTTTTTTAATTTTAGTAGTAAATTATATAAAGATTCTTTTTATTAAAGTTATATTATGTTATTATTTTTTGGATTTTTGTTTTAAAAATTTAAAAGTTTATTATTATTATAGTTTGAAATTTGATTTATATATTTTTTGACTCTGATTTAAATATATTAGAGCTTTTAATTTTATTATATATTTTTTATTTTTTTTTCTTTTGATTTTTGGTTATAATCCTTTTTTTTTTTTTTTATTAATATTAAAACTTGAATATATTATTAATATTTTTTTTAGTTATAAATTATATTAAACTTTTGATTATTATTTTATAAATATTTTAATATGTAATTATTATTTATTAATTTTTATAGCTTTTGTTTATGTCATTAAATTTTTAACTTTAAATTATAGACAATCTCAGACGGCTGTATTTATAAGTGAACTTTTATCCAATCAATATTTTCGAGCTTATGTCACTGACGACGTGATTGGGTGAATTTTTTATAATAAATTTATTAAATCCTTTTTTATTGCGCTTACTGTGCTTTGGGTTATATCCATGTCCTCACTATATTTCTAGCAAAATCTTTTAGTTGTAAATTTTTGGTCAATATTTGCTTAGTCATTTGTTTTGGTGGGGTAGCGAATATATAAAGTTATAATTGCTAATGGAACTTTATTTTATTGCTATTTTTATGATTAGTCTTGAGATTGGTGGCGCCTTAAAGAATCCGCTCGCTATTGGTGCAGGGATTATTGAAGGTTTTTGATTGGATTCTGAGTTGTTTAGTAAAAACAGTTTTTATAATAACAATGACAACAACTACACTATAAGAATAATAATATTATGATAATGATAATAATAATGATTATGAAGGGCTTGGTCACGGCGCTAATTCGCTTGTTGCTTTTATTATCAGAGGATGCTTTGAAATGAAAAAGTTGGGGGTCGTGTAGTATTACTATTATTATTATTATTATTATTATAATTGTTACTTTAAGAGGCAATCCTGATACACTTTCAGGCCTATCTGGGATTGGTGATTTAATTCTTACGACTTTTGGTGGCCTGTCGAGGCGATTATTATTATTATTATTATTATTATTATTATTATTATTATTATTATTATTATTATTATTATTATTATTATTATTATTATTATTATTATATACTAAACTCTTGATTTTCTTACGTTTGTTAGGAATAAAGCGGTGGGACTTCGGCTAGGGAAAGGCGAAAAACTCCAGGATATTCTTGATAGGTTTCGATAATTAAAGAGATAATAGTAATATTAATAATTATTATAGTAGTAATAACAACAACAATAATAATAATAGGAATAAATTTACTATTATATATATAGGGCATGATTTCCTTCCACTTTTTGTTTTTTGGTGACTACGTTTACTTGTATTTTTTTAAAATAATGATTTTTTGTATGAAACTTTCCATCGCTTTTACCACGTGCGCTTTAAATTTATTGTTGCTGTTTTCATTATTTAAATTGCAATTGACATTTCTTGTCTCCCCTTCCCCAAAGGTTGGGTGCGAGTATTATAATATACAAAGAAAATTTTAATAAAATGTGTGCAAAGTTTTTGCTTTGACTATTCACTATTTGAGGAATTCATTATATTTCATTCGGTTTACATGTGATAAAGTTTGGCTCAAGTGGCTGAAGGGGTCCCAACAGCCGCGGTGGTGGTCAAGCTAGCTGACAAATACGGAGTAATCAATATTTTTTAAGTTTATAAATATTGAAGAGTTTACTAATAATATATATAAAAGCAGTAATAATTAAAAATAATAATAAACACTGTAAAATAAAATTATTACCAATAATAAAGTTAATGAATATAGGATTTACTAATAATATATAGAGTTATAGTAAAATAATACTAATGATAATTGTAATAGAACAACCTGTAATAATTTATAATGTTAGTAATAATTGAACATAACAACGATAATAGTAATAATAATATACCGTCTGTTTTATAAAATTTTTCTTAATAACGTTTTAGTGAAAAGGTTTAATTTTAATGAATGTACAGCTTGAGCTTCCGATATTCCGGACAGTCCATGCTTTTCTTAAGGGAGAAGTGACTGCTGAGGAAAGTTTGGTGAATATTATGAATAAACCGCCTAAAGGAGAGTTTGATTGAAGAAACCACAAAATACTTTTTTCGTCGTAATTGGTTGTTTAACATCATTTTTGATTGGTCAACTTTACAAGTCTCTAACGGATATGGCACTAAACTTTATATTAATTGTTGGACTTGAAAATATTTTTTGATCCTTTATATTTTGGATATTTATTACCAATAATAAGCTAAACTTTTTGTTTATTATCATTAAATAAGAATAATAAAATAAACTAAATAATCATATTTTATTTTATTTTTAGAGAAGTAGAGACAGCAAAGCTTCAGAGGCATCGGCTACTTTTTTAACGTTGCTTTCTGTATATGGCCGGATATACCCAATCAGCTCTTAAATAGTTATACAAAAAATAAAGTTTTTAGTAAATATGGTTGATAAAAGTTTAAATGTTATATAACAATATTTAGTTAACTTTTTGTAAATGTGCGTTTTATTTAAAAGCTCAATGGATTACATTGTAATAAAACTCTGGTGGAACGAATTTTAGTGGTTAAAAAAAACTTATAGGAGCGAGAAATCGGACTACAGACTCGTAACCGTTTAAATTGTTTATAAAAGAGCACGTGTCATGGTTTATGGATATTTTTCCCCCGGTGAACGCCTGTGTGGCTTCCAATAATTGGCGTTGGTGGCAAGGCTTATTACCTCACTCATGATTGGAGGAAATTTTATTAAAATCATTAACAGATTATTTCATTATTCGTTGGTTGCATATATAATGAAAATAGTGACCGGCATAATATTTATAATATTACTGGCCTGTGCTTATATCAATAAAACAAGTTTTTGTTTAATCCAACAAAAATCTTTTTGTGCGTTAAATGGGGTTTAAAAAAATAAGAAAGGGCGAATAGCAGGAAGTTATTATATGTTACACTTAAAAAATTATACATAATTATAATATTTGAGTCCTTTCGAAGGGCGTACGTTTTGGTAAAGTTTTTTTACTCTGCAATGAATAGGTTTGCTTCCTATCAAATGCGGTGGAAGTGCAGTAAAAAAAAATTCAACTAAACAGGACTGGATGCAATTTTGGGGTAGGCACGTGCATATTGAAATGTATGGATCTCATTGGACATTAATTATAAATCAACAAAAAAAACCTTGAAAAAAAAATTATTTTAAAAACATTAAAAAACGATCCAGTGGAAGATGTATTACGATCGGGCACTTTAAAAGGGCGAGACTACGTATAACTGCCAATCAAGTATGGCAGTTATACGTAGTCTCGCGAAGCTTATTTTTGTTAAAATGATAGGAATGAGTGATGAATATCTTTAAAAATAATAAGATATCCATAAAAAAATTACAAAAATATTTTTAAAAATTATAATAAATTTGTTTCTCGTCGGCTTTATAAGTATTATAAGATTTCAGCAGAACACTTCATTTCATTTGTGAATAATTATTTTGTTGAAATTATTTATTAATCAAACTTTATTTTTATTATGTTCATATATATTTATAATTTGCGAAAGTTTATTTTATCTTAATTTAATTATTACTTTTTCTTATTTTATATGGAAAGTTGGTTTACTTGGTGTTACTAATTTTTTATTTATTATTTATTAAACTTTATCAAAATTATTATAAATACTTCATTTTAAATTATAAATTGAAAAAGCTTATTTTTCTTTTGTGTACTTAAATATACTTTTTTATATATTTTGAAAATTTTTATTTATATATTTTTTTAATACAATATTTATTATTTGCTTCTTTAATATTTATATTATAAATATATGTTTATGCACCACAAATTAAAAATATTTCGGTATTTATAAAAATTTTAGTAAAACTTATTTCTTTTATAAAAGTTATAACTTTTTATTATTAATTTCTAACTTTATAGAATCGCATTAAAATTGTTATAATAAAAAAAAAGATTCTATAAAGCGGTTATAGTAGAGCTTCCTTAGTACTAAAGTTTATTAAAACATTTATTATAATAATTATTTACTTTTCTAACTTTGTTAATAGATATTATTATTTTGAATAAAAGTTTATATGCCGGTCACTTTTTTTATAAAATATAAAAAAAAATTAATTTATTTATTGAAACGTTAATAATAATTATTTTTTTTTACTGTTTAATAAAAATAAAAGTTTACTAATAAATATTTATTATATTGAATAAAAGTTTATATGCCGGTCACATTTTTAATATAAAAAGCAGTTAAAAATAAAAAATCAACATAAAAAAGAATAGAAAATACTGGTGTAATGAATTTAAGTAATAATTAAGAATTTTTTTATCAGATTTCTAAAACATTCTCATAAGTTTGTGTAAAGTATAAATTTTTTATAACAAAAGTATAGATATATAGTAAACTTATACAAAATTTTTATATAAATAATTATTTACACTATTTTCTTAAAGTTTATATTAGTTTTCTTTTTTTTTATATATTTTCAAGAATTATTTATATTAAAATAAAAACAATTTCATATAATGATATTAATAATAATTAAAAAAAGTTTTATAGCATTTTTAAATCATACACAAAATTTTAAAAAATTATAAATTTTATAAAAAAAGTATATACAAATATAAAACTTCTGCAACTTTTTTTTTTATATCAATTTACTTATTAAATTTTTTTTTAGTTTTAATAAGTTTTTCTTTTTTGTTTACTTCAAGTATTATTTATATATAAATTTATAATAAAAATTTAAGATTATTATATAATAAATATAAATTTAATTTGTTTTTTTAAAAATTTATATAAAAATTCTTTTCTTCTATAACTTTAAAAATAAAATAACAAAATTTTATTTATTAAAAAATATTCAGACAATATTCATATAAAAAAGTAATGAAAGATTTTTTAGTAATTATTTACAAAAAGCAACGAGCAAATGGTGTAAATTTATTGGCTCTTTAAAAATAACTAAAGCTTTTTTATAAATTAATATTTTAATTTAAAAATTATCTTCATAAATTTTTGAAACTTTTTAAATAATTAAAAAAAAAAATAGTTTTCAAAAAATATAATGGGCGTCTACCAGCAGCGTCTAAAGTTTTTATGACACTTTTATTATGAAATACAAGAATTCCTAAGGCTATGCAACTTCGATAAAACGATTCGCTGGAAAGATTTTCTACTTTCACTAGTTCTAGAGTTGAAAAAAAATTAAAATATAAAAAAAATATAAAAGAAAACTAATTGTACTGCTATTAAAAATGTGTTGCATTATTATATTTTATTATTGAAATTACTTAACATTGTAAAATTTTTAACCATAATGATGATAATAAATAACAATAATAATGAAAAATTTAAAATAACTAAAAAACTAGCCTAGCAAAATTTGAAAGCACATTGGCGGAAGTTGCGGAGAAGTAGTGTTCCATTCTTTCATTAATATGGTATAGTTTAGCAAAACGGTGCCTTAAAAAAGATCATCAAGAGTTTTCTCGCAAGAAATATAATGAAAGTCATATAAGAAGTTTATAACATTAATATTTTGATAGGAAAAAATTTTGTAAAAATACGCAAATTATCTGCTTTTCGTAATAAATAAATCGTTAAGCTGTAAATAGATATTTTTGGCAAAAAAAATAATGAACATGTGTCTCCATATTTTTTTTAAAGATACTCTATATTTTTTTAAAACCAATAAGAGCAGGCGTTGAAGTAAAACTGAGGTATAAATATAAAACAAATTTTGTAGAGATTAGAAATAGTCTCACGTGGTGGATAACCTCATGCATACGAGCGACTCATTAAAAAAACGCTCTTACTTGACGACCAATGAATAATAAAACATTTAATAAAATATGATTCAAGAAAAAAAAAGTAAGAATCGTTTGCGATATTCATAAACATATACGTGTCATTAGAGTTATTGTAAACGAAATATATAAAATAATGGCCCTTTTTATTGAAAAGACTTCTATTTAGAAAAAAATGCATTAAATTTTGAGAAAAAAAATTAAGCTGTTTCTCTACTGGCACGCGAAAGTAAAGGGGAAAAAAATAATGAATACTTAAGGAAAGCAAAGTGGCGTCATCCTTTGAATGAATGAGCGAAAGGAGCTGCAAAAACTTTAATGAGTTTTCAGCGCAAATCTTTCGCAGTTCTTCATGCTTGAAGCAGTTTGCAAGAAAGCTAGTAAATGCATTATTTTTAATGATGAAGGAAATAATAATAAAAATCCTACCGAAGAGCTAAAACCAGACAGCGTTCGTCCGACTCGGAAAGTACCGGTAAACTACTATTAATAAAATATTTATAATAAAAAAGATCCCCGATCATAATTATTACTGTAAATGTAGTGAACTTAATTATAATTAATTATAATTCCGTTGTGATGCTAAAATTTTGAAATTATAGCAAGTCTAACCCAACACACAAAAATTCAGGAATTTAAACGGAAAATAATTTGATTTTTAACTTAATCAAGAGAAAAAAAAGGCAATATTTAAAACGCACTCCCCTCACAGAGCACGTGCCATGCGATATATTGGAATAATAAGAAATACTCAATGATATGCGGAAGCAAGTCTGTTGTTGCGAGGGTTCTACTGCCCTCAGCTGACAACGCCGTGCAGCGAAGCAAGTCAATAACTGGAAAACGATATTTGCAAGGCCACTTCATTAGCGTGGATAGCACGTCTAACATAAAAAATTGAGAAATAATAATAAAATTTAGGTGAGAAGTTGATAATGTATCATGATAATGATTATAATAAAAAATAATTATAAATATAAAATAAAGTTAATACTATGAATAACATTAAAAAATAATAATTATAATTATAACAAGATAAATTGGCGGGAAAAAGGAAAATGTAGTCTATAAAACCATATTGAACCACTTGACGACTGGTAAGGTCCTCGCAGCAAGTGTCTAAACTTGCCAATTGATGCTTCGAAAGTTTTAACATGTCGCTTACAAGAGTATTAAATTCAGCAATTTTTTTAATGATAGCGGGAAGCTGAGCTTTTTGAAAGTAAAGATAATCTTTCAAAAAAAATAGTGAATGAAATGGGGTTTCCTCATGAAACGAGACGCCTGATTGGTCTTTATAAAGTAAATTATAAGAAATAAGTTTTCATGTTATTATTGTGATTAATAATAATAACAACCGCCGTATAACTTTTAATGAAAATATTTTTTAGACGTAACTTTTTAATGAATTGGAATAACCGCTGTTTTTTTTAATAAAGTTCACAATTTGCTCAGTGTAAGCTAAACTCAAGTTGTGCTCAGCAACAAACTTTTTTGCCGAATCCCATGGATCGTCTACAGAAAAAAAAATAATGAAAATAAATCACAAATTTTTGGAAAAGACAACTACCTGACAAATTATACGGCAGTTTACACAGCGGCATGCCTTTCCCAACATCAATGTCAAATACAAAGTCGTATTCTCTGCCTTGAAAACTTTGTTTAGGGACCCCGACAACTTCCCCAACATATTGCCACGTCTTTGTACAAGAAAAAAATATAAAAATTGGGCAGTAACATATATAAAAAGTTCTATTTTTATGTACTTCATTGAATCCTTTACTATATAATTTGGAGGAAAAAACGCCCCAACATTTAAAGTTAATTATTAGTATATACAAAATTTTTTTTCCCTAGATTATTTAATTACAACTAACTAACGTTCTCATTAAAAATAATGATTCGTTACAAAATAATTACAATGAAAGTTGGCTAGGAAGTATTAAAAAAAATGAGTTTTAAAATAACTATTATATTATGAAGTAATAAACTTTTCTACAACCTCATCAACAAATTTTCTAACGCGTGTGAAAACTTTTTATGAAAATTTAATAAACTATAATAACTAATTACTAATTATATATAATGTTACACCATATAACGGTCTTCTATTGGTCAATGCAAAATTAGAGTAAAAAGAGGCCCCGCCAAAAAAACCGCCATAATTTTAAAAAATTTATCAAACTTTCTTTTATTAGTCTTTTAAAGTGGAGCAGCAGACATGCAAAGATTTTATAAGTCTTAAAATACTTTATAAAAGTAAAAATAGTGCAAAACTTCCGCCAATCATAGTCAAGGGTATACTAATATTTTTGATCAAATTATTGGTTCACAGATTTATAAAGCCTTATTGGTCGACTTATATAATCAAACATTTCATTAAAATCGCCAGAAGTATATTTTTAATGAAACTGAAATTATAACATTTTTATTAACAATTTAATTATGCATAACCATTAACCGATCAATTAAAAATTTTATATACGATAATTGCAGGCATTCATTAAATTTTATGAGACTTTTTAATAGACAGTAAAGCTACTTTAACACTGTTTGCAGTTGTAAATTTAATAAATCTTACAATTTCGTAGCCGATTTAAGTTTGAGAGTGTACCATTGGTACAAATTATAAAACAGCTAATAAAATAAGTTATACAACTCTGACCAATAATATTATTTAGAACTCGTGCTAAACCCAATGAAATACTTAATATAAAACTATTTTTCATTATAAATTGATAAACAATTCCAAAAAAGCACCGAATGAGAAGAAAACCACGTGTACAATTCAATCTTTCCGGTTGGTCGGCGAATCAATTTTTGTTGTCCATCGCAAATGCCATTGGTGTTTAGTTCTTCAGGAGCTGAAAGATGCTCTTTTTTTAAGGAAGAGTCAATAAGCCTTTCGTCAACAGTCAATTTTGAAACCTTAAAATTATTACTTTAGAAATTATGAAATACTTAATATACGAATAAAAGAAATTTTATTTACATTTTCATATAAATAAAAGAAAATATAAATATAAATAAAAAGAAGCTTAATATGAAAATAATACGTTTAATATTACTAACTGAAAAAAAAATAACGTTTAATACAAAACATAGAAAAATAAATATAAATATATAATATACAAATAAAAGAAAATAAGAATATAAAAATGACATTTAGTAATCTTTAAATAAAAATAAAGAAACATAACAATACGAATAAAAAAAACCTAAAAAATAATAAATTAAATATTATTTATAAAAAAATTAAAATGGAAAAATTATTATTATCAATATAAAACCTCCTCTTCAAATTTTTCTAAGAGTTCTGGAGATGCATAACGCGAAGGAACTGCACTAAAAATGCGGACAATTCCATCACTACAACCAACCACAATGTCTCCTGTTCTCAATGCTGTAAAATTTCTTATATAAATATATAAAAATACTAAGAAACTAAAGTTTAATAGTAGCAAACTCTAAAGCAAATATAATAATGAAAGTATAAACTAAATTATGTTAAAAACGTTATAAGAAATTTTTTTTTAAAGTTCATGTGTATTCGTAGCTTGGCGATTATAATAAAGTTCATTTATTGGTGCCCTATACTTGCACACGTGCCCATAATATAAATCGTAATTGCCTTGGCATCCCTTTGGTTAATTTAAGGTATTCGAAGCAATAATATGAAAGGAGCGTACAATTTGGCTCTGCCTCAATTTGTAACACAAAAGAACAGAAAACATTTATTCACTAAAAAACAAACACTACTTATTTTCATTAAAAAATTATTTTGTATATTTAATTTAATGTTCATTATAATTTTTGTTCTTTAAATGAATTATTATTACTATGACGTAAACTTACTGATGCTGAGCTTCATTTTCTTCGAAGTTTATACACACAACACTCCACATGGACTCTACAGGAACAGTAATAGTTTGCACGCACTCAAAATTCCGAAAATTTCAAAGTTTTATCCTCTCCGCACGTGACAAAACCGCTGCCGGCGTCTGTAAAGTTAAAGAAAGATTTAAACTAATCGCATTAAATAAAGATATGAAATGACTCGCATTACGCAATTAAAAAAAAACTTTGATAAAGTACACCAGTCAGAAGCAAATAATCTAATCAATTGTTAACGCTAAAATTTTGAGAATTATAATATTAATAAGTATAGTGATATAACAATAATTATAAATTAAATAATAATAAAGAATTCTAGTGATACTAATGAGTCTGGATATTTTTTATTTTAAGAGTTAATCACTAAAAAAAATTGAATTGTTATGAATATTTTTTACAATCTAATGCTAAAAATAATTTAATGCAACAACTTCGCCAATCATAAGAAGAATAACTCAAAAAAAAAGAGCCTGATATTTTTATTAATAGTTGTAATCATCAATAAAAGCTCGAATATAAAATAATAACTTAAAACTACACAATAATAATAATGATTATTATAAAAAAATTTGTATAACTTTAATAAAGCTAAGTTTTTCATTTATAATGAATACAAATATAATAATGAATAATAATAATAATAAAGTTTTCTTACTTAAACGGCAAATACTGTATATATAATTATTATGGCCTCTCAGAACTTTCAAGCACTCATAAGTCTGAGTAGACCAGATCATTATAGAGGCATCATTGCTGCAGGAAGCTACGTGTCTTGTAGAAGTCGCCGGTAAAAACACGAGGCCGCGGACCTAAAAGTTGTAATGATAATTTAGTACAGAAAATAATTAATATAAAAAATAACTTTTTTTACGTATAAAGTAAATGTAAAAGCTCTAGTAACAAATTATTTTACGTAAAATACTTTAAAATAATAAGAAAAAATAAAACGGTGTCTAAACTTTTGATAATTTAAAAAATTTTGTAAAAAATATGAACTCTTTAGTGCCTTAAAAAATTGTTAATAACAAATAAAACAACAGTAGAAAGAACATAAAAAAAACTTTTTAAATTATATAATTTTAAAAAGAAAAACTTATAAGTATAATAACCATAGAAAAATTTTGTAACTGGTATATATAAAAAAGGACGTAAAGTTACCGCATCGGTGTGCCCCTCCAAAGTTGCTACTAACTTCTGCGAATTACGTGTCAAAGCCCAAACTTTTATAGTTTTATCTGCAGAACCGCTCCAAAGGCAGGTAGAATCTGGAAAAAGATATACAGTGACAAAGTTTTTTTATATATTACTATATTTGTTTTAATTTTACTAAACTTTTTTTCTGTTAAAATTGCACGTTTATGTGAAACAATAAAAAATATTAAACTTCATTTAAACATATTTTTTTATATATTTGCTTAATAATTAATGTTTTACAACTATTAACTTTAATAAATATTCCCTACGAATTTATTATTTACTATTTTTCTTCGCTAAAATAAACCTCTATAAATTATATAGAGTGGCATAAAAGAAACTACAATTATTGCTTCTAATTAACAAATTGGAAGGTTATAAGTGTATTTTTAAATTATAGGGTTTCAAATATATAATAAGTAGCCAGATTAAAAGTAATTAGTATAATGATATTTCCTTGTACTGAATTGTTCATTTTATGCGTTACGTGCAACCAATTTATGTTTGTGCAACAAGAAAATAATCGGATGCAAAGAAACATTTACCTACAAAACAACAACACCACACTGCTGCAGTATGCGAGGACAGAGTGGCCCTGCACAAACCGTTTTCCCAGACTTTTATAGTGGTATCCCAACTGGCCGTTGCAATGAAAAGTTTCTTTGCTATCAGTCAATAAAAAATTATAAATCAGTTAATTATCCAATTAAATTAGATATAATTTTTTTAAAAATAAAGACTAATTCAAAAAGAAATAGTTTGCGTTATAGGCAGTCCGATGTAATATATTTTTATGTTTTTTTTTACTAATACCATAATTCCCACAAGCAATGCAGCAAATAGCGTCAGTATGACCGCAGAGCGTATAGAGGGGCTCCACTTTGCCAAGCTCGAATACATATACTACTTTATCATTACTTCCTGCTCGAAAAAGATTAAAAGTAATAGTTAAATAATTTAAAGTAAATGAAAATTTTTATTTTTAATTAATAAACAAAAAACTATTTAATTCTTACGTTAATACCACTTTATTATTAATAAAAAGGTTCTAATTGTCATATAATCAATAATAAATACACTTTATCCGGTATTTTTTTAAATTTTTAAGCAAAGTTTATTAAATAAAAGTTTTACCCAGATGTATAATTATTGCCCACATTTGAAACAATAAGTTAAAAATTGATAACTAACACATTTAATTTTAAAAATATTTGAAATATAGGAACTAATTTATAATAATAATAATAATAATAAAGAGGGTGCTAAAAGAGAATTTATAATAAAATTTTAATTGTATAATAATAAACAGTTGTTGACTACTAAGTACCTGAGATAATTAGCCCTTTCTGGTAAGTATCATTAGGAGGACAGAAATAACAAGTAGAAACGTAGTGTTGATGAGCATTGTAAGTCATAAAACGTTTGTAATAAGGAAATTCCCTTGAGCCTTCCCTTAAAGTGTCAATAGTAAAAATATTTTTAAGTTAAATTCTAAGTGGTGCTTAAAAAAATAGTTGGTGATTTAAGGTATACATAACGTTAATCTCTTTGCTTGAAGCAAGTCTTACAAAACTAAGTTTGTTTATAATCAAGAGAGTTTTTAGAACCATTGAACGAGAGTTGAGTCTCTCGAAGCAGTAAAGATGGTTCCTTGAGGCGTGCAAGCTACAGCCCGTACTGGTTTTTCATGAGCAACCCAAAATGAACTCAACTTGTAAGTCATTGAAAAACGTCAGCTGTGCGGCTATCAGCACACTTCACTTTTGTCGTAAGTTCCGAGGCTTTAGAATAGAGCGATGATTGGTTATTGTTTGAAGTTTTTGTATGTTTGTATATAAAAATAACTACAAGAGCTTAATTAGATTTTTTGTTTTATACCTCACAAGGAGCGGCGGCCATTAGGTAAGAAGAAATATAAAGGTTTTCTCGCGTTAAGTCATCTTTAAACCAATTTACTTAATATTTCTCTTCCGCTGGACAATAGTAATATGTTTTTTTAAATGAAACATTAGTTCTTAAAAGTAAGCAAAAAAAATATATAGGTTATTTTAAAGTAAATTCCAGTACCTTTACATCATACAACAACAATCTTGTGTTTTCTTGTTTATCTCATTTGTATATATAAAAATTACAGTTAGAGTAGTAGGCAAAGTGAGCTAACCCCCATCCCGGCGGGGTTCATCGTGGTCGCAAGCTAGCCTCGTGCTCGTGGTCAAGTTATAGTTGTGCTTTTCAGTGGTTATTAAAATAGGTAACCAGAAGATTCGAGAATATTGAAGGTATATAGAACCTGCATGACTAAAGGGGTACAATGAAGTGACCCGTTTTGAGTTTATAAAAGCTCGTGTAATGCAGGTAAGTTTTTCTAGGAGTGTTTAAGTAAAACGGGCAAGCAAATTAAACAAGTTATTTGTTAACTTCGTTATTCTTTTACTAACGCCTTAGTCTTTGCAACGCAAAGGGGCTTTTAAAAAATATCCTAAGGCTTTAAAAATTAAAAAATTAAGAATTTTTTATTAATTAAGGTACATCCGAAATGATGATAAAAACAAATTTAACTTAAATAAACAATCATTCTCGTTATTTTCTTCCTCTTAGTTTCCTAGCTGGCATGTGTCTTCTACTTTTTAATTACACTGGGTCAAATACAGAAATGTAAGCTGCAATTTTATTTTTTGAAGTTATTGAGTGTTCTATTTTCCTTTACTAGGAAAACTAAGAAGCTAACAAAACCGAAGCGAACATAAAAAACGAGTAGGGTTTGCTAATTTTAATAGTGTTGCTCACCTGATATATACAAATGAGCACGACAACACCTACTATACACTCTAACTCCCACATATGTACAAGCATACACACAAAATGCTTGTTGAATCTTCGCAGAATTAATCGAGGGTTTTTGTTACAAAATATCTGACATTTTAGTATCTTTTGTGAGTGTACACTTTGACAACAACCGCTGTACTCTTTCGGAAGAATAATACCGCTCTTCTAGTTATTAAGAACCCCTCTAATCCTGTAAATTTCCTTTAAAAAGCTCAGAGTTTAGGCTAGAAATCAGTCGACCCAATGCTTGCCAGTGTTAATAGACCTGTCATGCCTAGAGGGATTTTCCACCACGCCTAGAAAGAGGGTACTAAAACCTTATTAATTCTTGGTGTTTTTTTTTTTATTTACTTATACTTGTTATAGAAGTTTTTACAGTTTTATTACGTAATAAACACAATGGAAGCTTTTAGGAGACAATTTAATTTTTCCAGATTTAATTAGTTCATAACATTAAGAGCGCAACTCCAATATTTGATTATCAAGGTAATAATTGTTTTCTAAGGGCTTTTAAAAATCGATATAATTAAGGAACATAAGTTTAGCATTTTAACAAAAGGAAATAAAGCATCAAATTTCCCAATATAAAAAATTGGAAATAAAAACGTTACCTAATGTGGCACTTCCAAATACATGGCAAGCACATAACTCTCATGTGCTTATTACTAACTATAGTAAAATATGAAATTGTAAAACATAAAATTGCATACAATTAATATTTTTTGGGTTGTGGGAAGTACCATAAACTATCTTTTTAAATTGGTAAACTTTCATTAATAACTTTTTTTAAATTTAAAATATAAATTTGAACTGGTTTTTACTTATATGCTTTTTATGTAAATAATTAAGTATAGCTGAATGCAGTTTGGATTCTTTTCATAGTTTGGAATGGACATCAAAAACGAGCTCCTATGAAAAGCTTAAAAAAAAGGAGAAAAGGCATATTATATATAACAGTTCTTTGTATACATCCAAAATGTTTATAATGTATAATATTTTATTTCAATACTAATAAACCAGTTGAAAGTTTATAACAAAGGCTGATAGCTATAAATACTTTTTTAACAAATTCATCTTTGTTTTTGCAGTGTTCACTTACTAAATCGTATCTGTCTTTTCCATTTCATGTATGTAGTCGTAAAGTTAACTTAACCTGCTGCAGTTACGTCTAGTATGAATGTTATTATGAGTATATCAACTTATTTTCAGATCATCTTGACGCGACTTATCACCTTAACAGAGATTTTAATTAAAAGAAGAAAGCTTTTTACGCATTAAATTTTCATTGGAAGAGGAGTATTTTAATGTTTAAAGATGGGCTAATCTGATAAATTATTATACCTATTGTGTTAAAAAAAATTTCAAGGTCTGCGCTCGAACTTAAAGTAAAAAAACTTTTTAAAGCTGTCTAAAAAAGAATAATCATAATATATAAACTTTAACTTCAGTTTATTATGAGATTACTTTACCGCAACCAGCTACAAAGAAAAAAGGTCACAGCTGCAAAAGAAACCTTCCAAAGTTGGTGAGTGGTGTAATATATATATAAACCCGCTCACTGCACAAGTTGAGTTACAAACCTCGTGGCGTGGGGCGCTCGGTGAAAGGCCCCTTTTTGGCTTTTTTTATTATTATACGAGAGAACTTTTTTTTAAATTACTCCATTGTACTTACGTTGTATATCGATGGCCATGGCAACGACATTATCACAAATTCTGGAAGCAACTATTTCTCCAGGTTGAAAAAAAAAATCTTAGATTAAAAAAATTTAATTTAACACAACTTTAGATCAAAATATTAGCGGGAAAGCATTACAATATCTTCAGGATGCCTTAAAAAGCGACTTGGTTTTCTCTTTTATATTTTCTCTTTATTTCTATTTTATTTTATTTTTCTTTTTTTTTATAGCCTGGTTTTCTCAATGTCTTAACCATTGAAATTGCTAATGAAAGTAATACACCGACGGTAAGAATGGCCGCGAGTTTATTTGTTAAAAATCAATTGGCAATGCGAGACGAAGCCTCCCGTAAGGAATTACACAACCGCTGGCTTCAAGTTAATGCTCAAAGTAGAAAACAGATTAAGAACAATGTTATTAAAATATCTGAAAAAACTTTTTTAATTAAATATTAACAAAAATTGTTTTAGCTTCTTAAAACTTTAGCCACTCCACACACCATCGTTGGACGTTCTGTAGCTCAAGCCGTATCTTCTATTGCTCAAGCTGAGCTTCCTAATAATCAGTGGCCTGAACTTATCCAATTATTATTATACAATGCTACTCATAGCAATAATAACTTCTACTTGCAGCAAGCTACTATTGAAGCTTTGGGTTTTATTTGTGAAGAGATAGTAATTTTTTACTAATTTTTTCTTGGTAAATCTTTTTTTTTAAGAGTTGTTTTTCAGGATCCCAATGTTTTAAAAATTTATGCTAATCAAATTCTTACTGCTCTGGTTAACGGAGTAGTGCAAAATAATGCTCCTTCTGGTTAACTTTTTATAATTTTTAGAAATTCAATTTTTTATTATTTATAATAATAATGCTGGATAATTTTTATATTAAACATAGATTAATTTGTTTTATAAATAATATTTAATATTTAATACTCTTAAAAATCTTAATTTTATATATATTCAGATGTTCGCATTGCAGCTATTAAAGCGCTTACAAATTCATTGACTTTTATTGAACAGAATTTTATGAATGAGGTTTTTTTTATTTTAATATTATTTTTCTTTATTTAAAATATTTTTTAATAATATTTATTTCTAATTTATATTTTACTTTTAATTTACTGAATGTAAATTATACAATTTGTTATTAAATTTTTAGTAAAATAAATTTTACTTTTGTCTTCATTGCCTTCATCTAATTTTTGTAAAACTTTTTGTATGAAATAGTAATGGCCTACTTCTATAATTCATATTTATTAAAAATTTATCGGACGTATAATTAATTTTTAAGTGGGAATTTATGAATAGTATAATTTAGTTATTTTAAAATTTATATCACTTTTGAATTTTTGTTATAATTTAATTTTTTGTTAATTTTAAATTTGAGGATATAATTTTTTGTGAATTAATTTAAATTGTTTCCAATTGTTTAAATTAAAGGTTTGAATTTGGATTAAATTCGAAACTTGTTTTTTATTTAAGTGCATAAAGTCAGTTTACTGAGGAGAATTTATATAGTGATTCTTTCTAAAATTTTAAAATTTTTTAGTATTTGTACGAATTTATTTATACTTTTAACTTATAAATTTTGATGATTTTTTTTAAGTTATTTAAAACGTATAATTTTTTTTAAATTAATAAGTTTGATCTTTTGAAATTTTTTTTATAGCGTTGTTAATAAATTATATATTGAATTGAAATTTAGTTTTTTTTTTACTTATTTTTACTTAAAACCAATTTTATTTTTTATTATAAATTTATAAACGAATCAAAGGTTTTATTATTTTTAATCTTTTTCGCATTTTTAAATTTTTGATTACATATGAACTTAATTATACTTCTTACTTATAATCTCTGTTGCTTTTTTTATTTTGTTAATATTTGTATAAATTTGAGTAAAATATCAATTATAATTTTTTAATTATTTTTGAAATTTATTCTTAGTTGTTATAAATTTATTTGAAAGAATGAAATTTAGTTTATTGTTTTTCCTCAAAACCCCTTTACTTTAGTTAAAAGTTTTTACTCTATTTAAATTTTTGATTTTTTGTACGAATTTATATTTCATTTTTTAATTTTTTACTTACAAATTTAAAATTTTTCAAATTTAACTAAATCTATATACTTTTTTAAAAAACCAATAATTCCGTTTTTGAAATTTTTTTATGTTATAAATTTATATAAAAGAATGAAATTTAATTTTTTATTGTGTTCGGTTAAAACCATTTTTTACTTTTTATTACAAATCTTTTGAATAAAAATATTTTTAATTCTGTTTTTGAGAATTTTAATACAGCATTGTAAAATAATTATAAAAAAAATTAAAAAAATTTCCTATAAACGGATAGAAGGCTTTATTAAATTGATGATTTCGATTATTTTCTGCTAAAATTTTTTAATCGGTATTTATTTTCTTACCTTTTTTTTTTAAATTTAATTATTTGTAGGAATTTTTTTATATTACTTTTATAAATTCTACTAGATTTTAATTTTTATAATTGTTTAAAAGATTTGTGTTCTAAAACTTTTTAATTATTTTTCAATAATATTATATAATAAATGAATCATGAATATTTTTTGTTTGGCGGTGTTGTGTTTTTTTATTATTGAGTTTTTCTATTTTTTTTTTTAATTTTAAAAACTGCGAAAGTCATATTTTATAACCTTCTTAAAATATTTTTATTATATTAATATACTATTATATATATTTTTTAAAAATAAATAAAGTAAATATAAATTTTATAATTAATAGTAACAAACTTAAAAATACTTATATTATAATATTTTCTATTACTATTTTATTTATACTTATTACAATTAATAAAGTAAATATAAATATATGTACAATAACAACAATAAATTTTAATAGTAAAATAAAAAAGTAATTTAAGAAATTAAAATTATAATTTTTATTTATGATTTCTATTTTTTGTGTTACTTTTAAATAAAGTTTATATGAAAATTTTTAAATGTAAATAATAAGCATAATAAATAAAATATTTAAATTTAAGAATTTAAAAAATTATAATTACGTCTTTATAAAGAAATTTTATTTTTTTAATAGTAATATAAATAAAAAAATTAGTTAATATATAAATTTAATAATATAAAAATTATATTACTTTTATTTATTGATAATAACAATTCTAGAAATTTTATTATTTTTTTTATTAAATAAATTAAGTAACTATAAATAAATTTATAATAATAATAATAAATACTAAATATAATAACATTGAAAAAAAATAAGTTTAAAAATTTTTATTTTTTTAGTAAAATATTTTTATTTATAATAAGGAAATATACTTTTAGAATAATAATTATTTTTTTTAATTTTTTCAAAGTATTTTATAATTATTTTTGTATTTAACGTTAAATAATTAAAATTTATAAGTATATTTAAATAATAATAATAAACATCATAAATAATGAAAATATAATATCTTTTTATATTTATGGTAAAAGATTACTTTTATAATCTCCAGTAAATAAAGGAACTATAAATATTATTAAAGTAATAACGAAATAGTGGTAACAATATTAACTTTTATTTTTTAAGACATTTTTTTCTATATAAAGAAAGTAAATATCAAATATATTAATAATAATCCTCTATATGATAAATTAATAAAAAAATATATTAAAAGTTATATTTTTATTTATTTATTTTTTTATAATAAATAGATTTATTTATTACTATTTATTATTATTATAATATAATAATGCAAAGTTAATGGATTGTACTTAATAAATATTTAACTTTTAATAATAAATAATATTTATAGAATTATTGGTTTTCTTAAATAATAGAAATAAATAAAACTTTTTTTTAAAACTTCTTGTTAGGAATAACTCCTTTTTGTTTAAGTATAATACATATAATTATTTTTAGTATTGTTATGCTTTAATGTACATTTTTTATTTTAAGTTATTTATTAATAGTTTTTGTTTTATTATTAATTTCATTATAAATGGGAAATCACATGTATTTTTTCTTAGTTTTTTACTGTTCTTAGTATAAATATGATATTTTTTATGTATTTTATTTTTATTTTTATTATTCCTTTATTTTATTACATGCATATTAATAGTTTCGATAATAGTATATATTGTTAGATTATTATTTTTAATATTATTAAGGTTTTATATATATTATTTATCTTTTTTTTATTATTTTATTCTTACTTTGTGTTCTATTATTATATTTAATATTATTATGACCTCATATATATTTTTATATTTATTGTTATTTTTTTTTCAGGCTGAAATTTTTATTTATAATTCTCTCTTATTTTATTTATTATCTTCTATATTATAAATATATCATTAATAATATAACATAATAATCATTAGTAATAAATATTAAAAATTTAGTTACGTTAAGTTTATTTATTTGGAAAATATACCTTTATTTATTTATATATTTTTGCTTTATTAATTTTTATTGAACTTTATTTTATTTTTTAGTGAACATTATTTTTCATTTATTTTTTTCTATAATATCTCTTTTTGTTATTGTTTATTATTATTAATAATAATGAATAGTAAAGCATAACATTTACTTGAAATATTTTTTTTAAAACTCAATAAATATTTTATTATAAACCAGTTGTTTTATTAGACTCCACTTTACGATTTGATTGGTTATCTCTTTTCATAATTTTATATCATCATCAGAAGTAGTAATAAAGAGCCTATTACCTTAACCTAAATTTTAACTTTCTATTTTATTGGTTACGATGTTTTATAAGCATTCGGTACAGCTGTTTTTACTAATATTACCTTTTTCATTATTATGGACAACCCAATAATTTTTTCCCCCAGACTGAGCGGGATTATATAATGCAAACTGTTTGCGAGGCCACGCAAGTTAAAGATGATGATAATTTAGTGGAAGCGGCTCTTCAGTGCATTGTTGCCATCATCGACTTGTACTATCCTTATATGGAGAAGTATATAAAAAGTTTATTCGTTGTACGTTTCTATATTTATTTAATTAAAAAAAAATTTTTTTATTTTTGTGGGGTAAAAAATTTCATTAATTTTTTTTGGACTTTAGCCCCTTTTTAATTGGCTAAATTTATTTATGGAAGGTTACATTAAATTTTATGAATGCCAGTAACGAACGAATAGCGCTTCAGGCGATTGAATTTTGGTGTACTATATGCGATCAGGAGTACGACCTTCGCTTAGAGGCTGAAGAAGCCCGCCAAGACGGCACATCTCCTCAACATGTCAGTAAATTTTATGCGCTTGGCGCTCTCCCATATTTGCTTGGCGTGCTTCTTGTTCTTCTAACTTATCAAGTAAGTTTTTTTTTGTTATTTATTTGGTACTTTTTTACTAATTTTTTAATACGTAATTTATAATTTTTATTTGTGGACCTTTTTATTGCTCTATTTTCATTTTTTAAATTAAATTTTTCAATTCAATATATTTTGTGAACTTATCGTAATTCTTAATTTTTTATAACTTTTTTTGCTCGTTTTTTTATTTATATTTTTTTATACTAAATTTTTAATTCAATACATTTAGTGAACTTTTTTAATTCTTAATTTTTTTAACTTTGTTTTGTTTTTTATTTTCTTTTTTATACTATAATTTAGATTCAATATATTTTGTGAATTTTTTTTTTGCTTAATTTTTTTACAATTTTTTTTTGTTTTTTTTATTTATATCTTTTTACTTTTTATACTAAATTTCTAGCGAACTTTAATTTTCTTATTTATTTCTACTAATTTCTAATTCAATATATTTAGTGAACTTTTTAATACTCACTATACTTATAACTTTTTTGCTTGGTTTTCTATTTATTATACCCAATTTTTAGTGAACTTTCCTATAATATTTTTATACTTTATTTTTTAATTCAATTAATTTTGTGAATTTTATTTCTTATCAAATAAATTTAATTTTTTTATTTCATTTTATAATTTTTCTTCAAACTTTTATTTTATTATTATTATTATTATACTTTTCATTAATTTTTTTTATTATATACTTTTTTGTGAATCTTTTTTAGTCTTTATTGTTTTTATATATTTTATATATATTTTTTCATTTTCATTATTTATTACTAATTATATATACTAAATCTCTACACAAAATTTTTAGTGAGGTTCTTCACTTATAATATTTCTATATCTATTTTTGTCTATTATTTATATTTCTTAAATTTATAACCTCATTAATTTTAATGAGCAAAGTTTTATTTTATATTTTTTTTATTAATAATATTATATTTTTGTTTTTATAACTTTTATATAAATTTTTTCCTCTATTATTATACTTTTTCAATATTTTTAAACGAGAAAATGATATAATAAATTTTTTATTTTATAAAAATGCAGGTTTTAATATTTTTATTTGTTAGGAAAGTTATCAATTAGTAATAAAATATAAAAAGTATTATGTATAATAAACTTTTTAAAGTTTTTTTTGTTTTTGTTTTTAAGTAAGTCTTTTTGTTTATAAGAATATTGAAAAGTTTATAAAAATAAACAAAATAAATGTTTTTGTATGGAATAATAAACTTTTATAAAGTAATATTATGTTTGTGCGTTTTTACATATGAAAATACTGTATAAAAAAGTGTTGCTTATTATTATTTCTCTAATAAATAATCTATGAAGAATTAATAAATATTGTTTTAAATTAAATTTATCATTATTATTATTGAAAGTTTTTATAGTGAAGCAACACTTTTTTTATATATATATATATATATTTAAATATTATACAACTACAAGAATTATATTTAAATTTTCTCTATAATATTATAAAAGTTTTTAAATTTTTCGTAAAACTTTTTGTATATATTTTTTATATATAATAAAAGTAAATAAGAATATTAATCTTTTTATAATTTTTAGAAAATATTTTCTATGTTTAGGTGAAGAATGTTATTTAATTTCTTTATAATTAATGAAAGTTTTTTAGAAAAGGAAAAAGTTTTTTAAGGGTTTTTTTAAAGATGTGAAGGATAATAGAACCAAATAAATAAAAATATTGCCAAATTTTTATTTTAAATCCAATAAAACTTGTGAATCTTTATTTTTTTATACCCAATAAGTAACAATTTTAAGTTTAATGAATACGATTAAACTATAAACTTTTATAAAAAAATAAAATATTAAACCGGATAAGTAATATTAAAGTTTTAGCAAATAATAAGATTTAGAAAAATACAATAAAACTTAAAAACTTTTATATTATTCTTTTGAAAAAACGGAATAAATTATTTTATTGTTAATGTATAATAATAAATAATAAAAATTAATAGAAACAGTAAAACGTAAATCTTTATTATTATTAATGAAAGAAGCAAAAATAAGAGGAATATAATTTTATTTGCTTTTTTTAATAGTAATAAAAGTTTAAGAATATAGTAAAATTAAAAACTTTTTATATTACATTTGAAGTAAAAAAAGGAGTAAATAATATTATGGTTAAAGTTTCATAATAATAAAAGTTTAAAGAATACAGGACCTTAAAACTTTGGTTTTTTTAAAAAATTAAAATGTTATTAAAGTTTTTTTTATTAATAAAAAAATTTTTAATGTTATTTTTTTTATAACATTTAAAAACTTTTATATATTATTTTATTATTTAAAATTGAATTATCGAAAAGTTATAAACGGTGAAGTTTTTTAATAGAAGTTATACTTTTATATAAATGTAGTATAATTTACAATAATAAATAGTAAAAGTTTTTTTTTAGTAGTAAAACTTTTTTTGTATATGTTTAACTTTATATATATATTTATTAACTTTATTATTACTTATATATATTTCTTACCTTTTTATATTATTCATTATTAATAATTAAAAGAACGAAGATCCTAACGAGTACACTCGGGCAAAAGGGGCCGTCTGTTGCCTTTGTTTATTGGCTAAAACGGTGGAAGACGCCATTTTGGAGCCCGTTTTCCCGTTTATTAAAGAGCATATCAACAGTGATAATTGGCGGTACCGCGAGGCAGCCATCGTGGCGTTCGGCTCGATTCTTACTGGCCCCAGCCTTCAAAAGTTGCTCGGTGCTTTACTATTATTTATTATCATTATAATTAATTAAATGGATAGAATTTATAGTAAAAATAAAAATAACGAAATACAATAATATAAATTAATAAAATATAAAGAAAATGAAGAAGAGAAACTATAATTTAGTATAAATTTGGTATAATTTTAAACCAGAAGAGTAAAGTTTACTTGAAAAAAAATTATTTTTATTGTCATTATTTGAAAAAATGTATAGAAACTACAAGAAAAGGATAATAATAAATATAAAAATATAAAATAATGAATATAATAAAAAAGAATCAGGTTTATAAGAAAGAGAAATAATTCTAATTCTTTATAAAATCTGAAAAGGAATTACAGGAAAATATAATAACAAAAATTATATGAAATTAGGAAACTTTTAATAAATATTATATATTAATTATAATAAGAAGAATATTATTATTTATATTTTTATTAGTTATTATTATCATTATTTTCACTGGACCAGGCATATGCGAACAAGGTTTGCCTCTGCTTATGCAACACTTGCAAGATAAGCACGCGATGGTTAAAGATTCAGCCGCGTGGGCGGTCGGGCGAGTTTGCGAAGTGGCCGCTGGTTGGTGGACTTTCTTCTTCTTATTCTCTATTTTATTATTATTATGCAGATGTTGTGCTCAAGTCCGACTATCTTCATTTTTATATGGACAATTTTTTCAAGTCGTTGGAGCAGGAGCCCAACGTGGCTGCTCATATTTGTTGGGGCTTAAAGTCATTGGTCGCCCGTGCTTATGAAAATGCCCAATCGGATAAAGATTCTGCCGTCAAAACATATGCATTGAGTTCTTATTATAGAGTATTTATTATCATGTATTATTATTATTGTTATTATATTTACTTTTTTATAGGTATTTGTAGAAAAACTTTTAAGTATCACTGCAAGTCATGACCCTTCAGTAAAAAACTTGCGGTGCTCGGCTTACGACGCGCTGATGGCATTTTGCTCCAAAACTCCCGCTGATTGCTACGAAGTGCTGCGAATTACTACGCAAGAAATTATTAATCGGTCTTTTTAAGCCTTAATAGATTCGTTATTTTTATGGCCTTTCTTATTTTTTTTCATCAATAGGCTGAATTCTTCTCTCAATTGGCAACGAGAAGCGCACGATGTTCAGACCAAACTGCACGTGTCGCAGACCCAATCTTTGATCTGTGCAACTCTCTCGGATATCATATTGGCCCTCCACCACAGGGACGCTCTTCTACTCTCGACGAGCACTGTGGACCTCGTGGGCCTGCTTTTAACCGTGTATGACGTTTCCCGCGCCACCAACCAATCAGATGTTCAGGAAGACGCATTGCAAGCCATCACTTCCCTTATCCAGAGTATATATCTGTTATTATTACTGTTTACATAATTTTTATTGTCTTTATTCATTATTATTTAGATCTGGAAGACGATTTCGCTCCGTTTCTACCAAAACTGATTCCTTATATTTTCCAGGCTTTGGAAAACCACTCAGAAGATCCGGCCGTCTGCACCCAGTTTTGTTCCATCATAAGCGACCTTTCCAGCGTTGCTTCCGCCGCTTTTGCCCAGTTTTACCAGCCTATCATGAAGGCTCTGTTAACTATAACCGAGCAGAGTCCTCATTCTACGCTTGTCCCCGCTTTGCTGACTTGTTTTGCAGGCAGTTTCATTATTCATTATTCATTATTCATTATTCATTAGTGTTATTATTATTCTATAGATATTGCCACTGTGGCAGGAGTAGACTTTCATGCTTATGCTCCGTCCGTGTTGGGTTTTGTAGTTAGAGCAATGCATTATAAGAAAGAAATTGTAAAACATATTATAAGAATAATAGCCAATAAAAATGAAAAAAGATTTATTACTATTTTAGAGCAGCCTTGAAGAAATGGAATACACCAATAACCTTCGTGAGTCCTGCTTGGAAGCAATTGGTGCAATAATCCTAGCGCTTCGCGGAGAAAGCACAGCCGCCTGTCACGCGGCCACACGTGTTCTTGGGCCTTTTGTGGAGGCGATCGTGGCATACGTACATTCCGTGTCGCTTGACCGCTTTGGCAAAGATGTTCTTGAGCGCCACGCTGTGAGCATTATCGGGTATATTTTTAGTGGAATTAAGCAATCACTTTTGGTTATAAAAAATTTGGAGAAAAAATTTTTATAGAAAAAAAAGTTATTCAATTAGAAAACTTCATTTTGTATCGAATTTGTGATGCAAAGTTTTTATAATTAAGCGATTTGTTGAACTTATTTGGTTCTATTTTTATACTAAAAGTTGCCGTTTAAGTAAATTAGACCCTTTAGTTATTATGGCGAGTTTAGCGATTTGTGCACTTTTTTATATATTTATATGTTTGCTGCTTCTTTATTTTAATAGTAATTATTATTTTTTTGCATCTATTTTGTACGTATTTATAATTTTTATTATTTTCTCTATTATTTTTTTCTAACATTTTTTTTATTTAACTGTTTCGGCACTTTATCAAATATAAAAAATATTATTTAAATTATATAACTAATGATTAAAAGGTTTATTTTTTTTTAAAAATGTAAATAAAAAATTATTAATTAAAGAAATTTTATAACAAATACTTTCGTTTTATATGAACTTGTTTTTTTACATTTTCTTTTATTAATTATATAATTACTTTTAATTTTTAAATCTTGTTTGAACTTTTTATTTATATAATATTAATACTTCATAACTTTTCTAGTTATTATTACTTATTTACTTTTAGATTCATGTAAAACTTGTTTTCTTATTGTTTTTTTTCACAAACAAAATAATTTTTAGTACATTTCAATAATCTAAATTTTTATTTATATTTTTTTTCTTTCTCCACTTTTTTGTGTCATAATATAAACTTTTTTTTTGCTTTTTTTTAAATATTTAAACCTTTTATAATAATACCTCAGCACTTTGTTACTTATATTTTATTTACTTATAGTTAAACTAAACTTTTTTTTAATGCTTTACCTTTTTTATTATTTTTTATTTGCTTTGTTATTATAAACTTTTTTATCATTTTTTTTTAATATATATATTTTTTACATTAGAGATTTGTGTACCATATTTAAAGGCGATATGAAGCCCGTTCTTGAGCCTAATCGGCTTTGGATTCAGTCATTAATCCAGAAATGCCAGCGTTCTGAAAATGCGCAAACCAAAAAAGCGTCTTCGTTGGCGGCAAAGTCTATTCACAAATGGATTTCTATATAAGTTGGACTAAAATAATTCTGGTTTGGTTAAATTATTTTTATAAAGTTTTTTAATTGATTTTTTAATACATTTTTACTTCTAATGCGATTTTTATTATACTATTTTTACTATATTGTAGATTTATTTTTTTTCTTTAAAAATTTTAATTCGGGTGGAATTTTTTTTTAAAATTATTTCTTATAATCCTTTTTTTACCTTAAAGATAATCTCAACTTTTTTTATAATCTGATTTCAATTTTTTTTTTATTTCAATAAAAATTCTGTACTGGTAAGCCTTATTTTATATACTATCTTGATGATATGAGAATTATTTTAAAATTTTATTTCGAGCTGATTAGAATTATTTCTAAGATTTTTATTACAATCTGATTTTAATTTGTTTTGCTTTTTATAAGTGTCAATACTAGTCAGCTTTAATATTTATAAATTTTGTTATTTTTCTAAAACATATCTCAAACTGGTTAGTTTAAAGTTTTTAAATTTCTTTTTTATAATCTGATTCAATTTTTTCTACCTTTTACTGAACTGGTTAGAATTATTTTTAATTTTCTTTATAACCTGTTTAATTTTTATAAAAATTTGAGTACTAGTGAGCTTTAATTTTTTTTTTTGATACAATGCAACTTATTTTAAAGAAAAAAAAATTTAAGAATGGTTCCTATTATTTTAAAATTTCTTATTTTATAATCTGATTTAATTTCTAATTTATTTTATAATAAAGAATCCAGTACTCGTTAGAACTAATTCTTTATCATAATGCGTTTAGAGTGTTTATTGAGTGCTATTTAGAATTATTTTTAATTTTTTCCCCTAATATTTTATTAAATAAATTTTTTTATTGGGTTGAAATCATTTATTATAATTCTATTTAATTTATTTTCAGTTTTATTTAAAATTACTTTATAAAATTTCCTTATTAGAATTTGATATATTCTGATTTTTTTAAAAATAATTATAATTTGAATTCAATTTTTGTTCAGTGTTTATTAGGATTGTTATTAAGATTTTTTTTTCAACTCTATTTACTTTTTTTATTTGAAAATTTCAAACACTGGTTAGACTATTTTTTTAATATCTTTAATTATATTTCGACTTATTTTTTTCGGTTTTATTTAGTATTACATAAAATTATTATAATTTGATTTAACTTTTTTCAGTGCTATTTTGAATTATTTTTAATTATATATAAAATCTAATATTTAGTTTATTAAAAAAAATTATAAACTTGTCGGGCTTATTTTTAAATTTCTATTGTAATTCGATTTAATTTTGTAATCAGTGTAGAATTTTTTTTATGATATGTATGTTATATTCTGATTTTATTTTGGTTAAAATTATTATAAAAAATTATTATAATTATTTTTTTTTTTCACTTTTACCAAAATTTAGTACACGTTAATATAAATTTTTAAATTTTTTTTATAGGCCAGTTTACTTTTTTAATAGTTAGTTCCGGTTAGAATTTATATTTAATTTTTTTTATAAAGTGATTTAATTTTTTATATAATTTCATTTTTATATTCTTTAATTATGCAATTTTGTACCGACCGGTTCAAATTTTTATTTATTACAACCTGATTTTTTTTTTTTTTTTACAAAATTCAGTACTAGTTAGAATCTATTATAATTTTTTTATGTTACTCTGATTTACTTTTTTTTAATAATCCATTAAATTTTTTATTCAAAAAATCCAATTTTAATTAAATTTAACTTTTAACTTACAAATTAAAAAGTGGTTTGAATTTTTTTTAAATTTATATTAATCTATTTTGTATTTAACTATAAAAGAATTTTAAGACTGGTTGAAATTAAGTTTTTATAAGTTTCTTTAAAGTTATATTTATTTTTTTTTTACATTTGAAAATTTAAAAGCTTATTCAAATTATTTTTTAAATTATCAATTATAATCGGATTTTCTCTATTTAATTAGAAAACTAAAAACTGGTTTGTAATTAATTTTCAAATTATTTTTTCTGATTAGAAAATTTTAAAACTGGTTTAAATTTTTTTTTTAGTATTTATTATTATTTTATTTTTTCTAATAAAACATTTTTAAAGGTTGGAAGTTTTTGTGAGATGCGTGAATTCCTTTTCAAGAAGTTTGCTATCGCTCCTCTAACACTTTTTGAGTAGTTCCGTGAATAAATTGAGATCTTAATATTAATTGCTAATTTTAAATATTGAAATAAAGAATTTATGTTTTATTGTAATTTTTCTTAATTCCATTTATTTTTTTTTTCTCAATTATTAATTTTTAAGGAAAAGTTATAACTTTTTACTTACTATTTATAAAGTTGTTTTGCAGATTTTATAGTTTCCTACTATTTTTAAAACTTACCTTTCTGGTTAGAATAAAAGTTTTATTTTTTGTAATTAATAATAGTAAAGAATTAAATTTTATGCTTTTTATTAAAATCCAGTTGAAAGGAACATGTTATTATATAAACTTTTTATTACTATTTTGAAGGAGTTAATTAGTTTTTATAATTTAAATTAATCTTCAACCTTGTTTTTATGATTTTAATAGATTTATTTTTTATTTGCTATAAATAAAAAATTAATAGTTTTTAATTTAATAATTAACTTATTTTAAGAATTGCTTATAATTAATTTTTAATAGTTTATTGTGACTGTCTTTATTTTTATCATTTTTATTTATTTATTTTATAAAGAATATATATTTTATTTTGATATTTTGTTAAAATTTTTTTAAAAATAAATTTTTATAATCTATTTTTTATGTTTGTCTTAACCCAATATTTATTAAAAGAGAAAATAGTGATTCCTTTAGTATTTATAATAAGGTTTTCTATGTTTATAAGTTTAATTCTTTTTATTCTATTTTTTTATAAGCAACTTAAATATCACTAAAAATGTACGTAGGAAATCTATACCATCTTTAATCACAAAGCTCTTCTTTTTTAGTTTCGTAATATTTTGTGTAACAGCCCTCAAGTGGAGTTTGGGATTCAATATTTTTTTAATTTTTTTTATAAAACTGAAGTACTCTTTAGTGGCCTTTTATTCGCGGAGATCAATTATGTTCTTTAGATGTAAAATTCTTTATTTAAACAGTTGGATAAAAAGTATAAATAAATTTTATTTGTTTTTATTTTTTTCATAAATGTTTATGAATAAAAAGTAAATTGTTTAAAAAAACATAACCACCAATCTTCTTTTAGTTTATTTTAATAATTGGTCACACTAGTATATTTTAAGGCAGCGCATAACTTTTAAGTAAATTCTTTTATAAGCGTGATCTATTTAAGGGGAATCTATTTTTTTCAAGTAAAGTTGAAAATTCGTAATCCCCTGAGGTATAAGTTATTTTCTTATATAGATAAACAAATAATGAGTCTAGTAGTAAAAAGAATGTCTTAAAGAGGTATAAAGATGAACATTCAACGAAGACTCAAAAAACGAAGGACGGGGTAATAACGTTGTTCATGGGGATATCATGTTTTGAAGTTGGAATTGTTTTAGGACACCACTGCACTGAAAAGCAGAGTCCAATCTTTTTATACGATAGTAACTGAAAATTCTTAGGAAAATTAACACAAGAAACTGATTTCTCTCTCTGGCATAAAAATTCGTGTAACGAACAGTAGTAATTATGAAAATTTTTAATTTGGTTTAGTTGAAAAAAGTATTTGTCGTAACAACCTTTTCCTCTTCCAAGTCTCTTACCTTTTTCTCCAAAGCCCAGTCCGGGTACTAAAAATAAATCAATTTCATTGTAAAGTCTATAGAAGCCAAGAGGACACTTTTCATTAAGGCATCCCTGCCCCTTCAGTGCACTAAGTTCCATGTAATTAAATTCCTCGTTAAAACCTATCCCGATGCGCGATGCTTGTGTGAAAGTTGCGTTTTTACATTGAAGCAAATAGTTTTCCCAAAGTTTTTTGCTACAAACTATTTGAAAAGCAAAATTGGAAAAGTGAATTTGATCAGATGGAAGCTGTTTAAACTTCCATTGATTCTCACGTAAGTCTGCCAGTGTTTTAGTACACTTTAGCCTTACCATATTCATTTCATTCTTTATAAGATGCGGAATAAAAAATACTTTATTATTTTGAACTGCGTCGCAGATAATTAGGTCGGTAGCCACTTCGGTAGCCATATTTATATATACACCCACAGAACGGCTTTTCTGGTAGACCGAATGGTCGAACAATCTTTTAGAGATTTCTAAGGTTTCTTTTTTTTATCCTTTTCAAGAGCAGATAAACTGGCTAACTTCTGTTTTAAAGTGTGCCTAAACAAATTTTTTAAGTTTTCAATGCTTGTGACCATCCTTATGTTCCGCTATTAAAAAATAGCATAGGATAAGAAAAACTATCTCAATAAATCCTGCTGCAATAAAATTTGGTAAAAAGTTCAAGAAAGGTAAAAGTTTAGCTTGATTTTTTTGTATTACTTTTTATAGGCGTTTTTGGACGTTTCTATTAACACAGTCATAATCAAGGCGCTTCTCATATAAAAAGAAACGCTCTGCACTGCCAGACTCTGTCGACTTTCAAAGGCATGGAAATTCCTCATGCCCTCAGGTTATATATTCAAGTTACTGAAGTCTAAACTGTCGAGTGCCGAAGTTTTTTCTTAGTTGTTTAATAAACTGAGTCCCTCTCTGTTGGAAGCTTATTTATGAAGAACAAATGCTTATTTATTAGCTATAAATGAGGAGCTTTGTAAATAGCTAAAGGCTGTTAATTTGAAGTTACAGGATTACAAAAAAAGTCTCTTATTAAAAACGAGTTTAAACGATAGGATTTGATGGAAAATAATTGTATTCAATTAACTTAGCAAATCCTTCTTTGCTCTCCAAATATTAAACAAGCCTTAAAAAAAGAAGTTTTAGAGGAGAGTGAAGGAAATGCTTTTTTGAAAGAAGGCCCTAAAAAAATATTAACTCTAATAACAACTCTAATAATAGTAAAAAATAGTAAAAATAATAAATATATAGAAAAAAAATGGAAGTAGTAGTAGTTATAATCGTAGTTATGTTCATTTCGCAAATTGTATTAAAGACTGTAACAACATTAATTAGTTATTAGTAACACACCACTTTAAATCCTTGAATTAGAGAAGGGCAATACTTCTCCTTTACTCGAACTTCTCCAGCAGCTCCGATCCACCTGCGGCTGCATCTTCTCTTAGGCGAATTAGCAAGGTACCGTCTGTAGTTCTCTGCAAAAAACAGAAGTGTAACCATTTTGTAAAACTTCTGCTAGCCAATTGCTCCCACACACCTCAAAGAATTAAATTATTTTTAGCCACAGCAGACGAGTATCGAACCATCGCTAGGCTATGTGTGATAGAGTACTACCATCTTTTACCTCCCAACTACTAGAGGGCAAGTCTAAAGTTTGTTCTTCGGGTATCCATTGCGGACCTCCACGTTCAAATCCTCGAGGCAGAGTTGCGCACTCCAGGCATGTCGCCCACGTGACAAGGATGCATACGGACGATATTGTCGATAAGAAACGCACGAAGCGACCTTTATTAATGGTGTCATGCATTTACTGATGTGTGATAGACAAAGAGATTGGTATTAAAGATGGGTTATCACCATTTAGGTAGGGTAAAAAAGCTTCGGAAGAGTAATCGAGTCACACAGTGGCTCTACTGTCAGGTCTTTGGGCACAGGGCAAGTTTTTGCTCTGCAGCTCCCCATTGCGTTAAATGTGGCAAGGGCCACTCAACCGCGCGATGCACAAAGCATGAGAAAGTCCCACCAGTTGTGCTATTTGCGGTGGAGCGCACACTGCCAACTATCGCGACTCCGAATATTAACCGCGAAGACCTACGCGATCCACATAAACAGCTCTATCAACTCTTCAAAAACAGACCATTTCTAAAGTAACTACTATAATTTTTTATGTCGCTCGTTTGACCGCATAGACAACTCTTCAGAAAACTCTTTAACCACAGCAACCAACCCTACGACAACTGCTTTCAATATTGACAAAATCTGTAAACGAAATTAGAGACGGTTTACGGGTTTATACTTCGTTGGTAATGGTTTTTAGACCCCAAGTGCTTCGTCATATCCGTCTTCCTTCTGGAACGCAGATGCCTTCTACATAGGAAACAAGTGTTGCAGGAATTGATGAAACGCGAAAGAATTGATGCCTTATTAGTGAGGCTCATCTTTTTACACCCAGTATTATATTTAATATCTGCAACTTTTCCACGTACCTCCAGTACAGCCTTCATCAGACGAAACATTCAGCACGCTGTGATATCCTTGACTGCCCTGCCAAGCATTGAGCCCGTTGGACGTGTTGATTTGTCATACTTTAATGGTAATTCTTCATTCTCAAGAACATCGTCGGGGCCATCTGCCAGTTATTCTTCAAGCTGTACAACTGAAAGGAATTACCGACTACCACGTTTTGTCGATAACACCGTTTTCGCTTCAACTGCGATAAAACCGTACCACGTTGGAGAACGCTACAGAGAACAGCTTAAGCTTTTTAAAAAAAACTGCTGCGTACATTTAATAATCCTTGCTTTCTGTTTTATTTTTAAAATAATACTATCTAAATAAGAAAGCTATAGAGAATTTTTTAGACTAAATATTAAAAAAGAACTGCTTGGTACGGTTGTTTAATAAGTGGTGTAAAGCGTAATTTTTTTAATCTTTGCTTCTTTAGTATTTCTTGGGCTAATACTTTCGTATATAGAGGAAAGCTACAGGATTGTTTAAACAAAAATTAAAAAAAAACCCTGAATACAATATTTGTAAAGCTTATTTTTTTTTTATATCTTTGCTAATTATAATTTTTTAGTATTCATTTTACGGAGTTTATTAAAATAACAGTTTTAATTGCATATCGCCGTTTATAAGTCATTTGGCTCAGCCTTAGTAAGTATCAAAAAAGATGGGTTAAACATAGCATAACTAACATAATAATTAAACTGTAAAATAGCTATAAGTTAATAATTGGCAAAGTAAATGTTATTATAGTTAAGGTGCCTTAATCTTTACCTTCAAAGATTTTAAAGCAACCTAAACTTTTAAAACACAATATTTCAGATATTCAATGCTTTTCTATTATAATTTTTAAGGTTTATATAATGAAAGCAAGATACAAAGAACAGTATTTTATTCTTATAAAGTTAGCGCTTTGCAGATTTTTTTTTTAAATAGACGGCAGAATGAAGCTAATAAAATTTTATGTACCCTTTTATCAAGACAATGACTTAAATTATTCTCCGTTATATTTTTATAAAATATCAAAACTGTTAAGTTGAGGATTGTTTAATCATGATCCATACAAACCAAGTAGATACCCAAGCAGATTCATGTTAAATATACTTATAATGGTTTAACTGTAGCTAAACTTGTCTTATATTATTCACAACGGAAACTCTTCAATATTATCACTTTCGGTAACCTACGTTAGCAGGAGATAGAGAAACTAATGGGGAAATGATAAACTGAACTGCAAAGAATGTAATTCTTCAAGTTTATATTTTTACGAATATATGAAAGTTTAAAGGGTAAGCCTAATCTAGTTAAGCTAGTACAAAAGGGCAAAGTTCACTAGCTATTAGATAAAAAATTTATAGCAGCAAAATATATAGTAACCCTTACTGAATTAATGTTTTAAGTAGATTATAATATTTAAAATTTAGTTAATTTAGTCATGCTATAAAAATAAGCATGCATGCAATTACTATTATAAGTAAATGAGTATTGTTACCTTGAGTCTTATTTTATACAAACGTTATAAATATATAAAGGAAAACTGTTAAACAAAAGACTTCCAGTTAAGTAGAAGGAACTAAATTTTTATTTTTGTTACAAAAAATTTTTGCGTTTATTATTACTTGTGGAAGCCTAAACTCTAATTAGTAAAAAATGATAAGTCGTACTGGTTTTTAATCTATAAACTTTATTTGCTACTAAAGAAGAGTAACTTTTCTTAACTATACAACATTTAAATGAGTCTTTGTTTAAGATTGTTATTTTTAAAAGATATAAAATCTATTAAAAAGACTGTAACATTGAATAAAATATAAAATTGGCTAAATTGATAGGTGAGTGATTATAAGACTTTGAAATTTAAACTGAATTCAATTTATAGAGCTGTAATCTCTTTTTAATCCTAAGCTTTTTTTTAATGTGATAGTAAAGAAGCTAATTTTATTAAATTTTATACTAAAATAGTTAATAAGTTAGACTTTAACTTTTACATTTCTACTATTAATTTTATAAAAGAAGGCTTTCGTTGTTGTAAGCAAAAGCAAAGATTGTGCTGCCGCTGGTTGAAGCTTTAACCTAAATTTTAAAACTGAGGGAATTTACTATGATTAAAACTTCTTAAATCTTAATTCCAAATATTTATTAAATAAAATTATAGCAGCTGAGTTTAGTAAATCTTTTTCTAACTACTTGTCTTTTTTAAGAGATTCTTTTAAATTTAAGAGCGTGTAACTTTAATAAAAAAGGGTCGACTTTGAAGCTCAGAGCTGGCAGAGTTTTAGAAATAGATAACAGTATTTTTAAAAAAAAATATTACTTTTTAGTAAAGAATCGTTGTGGAAACTTGAAACTATTTTATAAATGATTTGTAAATTCATAATAACTGCAACCAAATTATTAGGTTTTTAAATATTTCTTTAGTGTCTTTTTACAATTGTTTTAATCTTAAAAAAAATTATCTTTTATAGAATACCGAAAAAACAAATTTACTATAAAATATTACATTTAGGAGAGTTTTTGTTAAATTAATTTAAAATAACTAAATCTCGAGATGGAAAGTGACGGGTACTTTACTTCTTATACACTTGATATAAAATTATAATTTATAATCAAGGAAAAAGCTTTTTAAATTTTTTGCAGAAAAATTTAAGTAAAAAATTTAAATTCTTGTTAACTTTGAAAAAATCACAAGCAGACAAGAATTCAGAAATATATATTTATAATTTGACAAATAAATTTTAAAGAAATTTAATTTTTATATAGAATTTTTAAGCAATTAAATTTAATTTTTTTTAAAAAATTTATCTTGAAAAGCAAATTTTTAACAAAAAATCTCGTTATTTTTAAATTTTATAGGTAATAAATTTTTACTTTTTAAAAGAATTTAAACAAAAGAAAATAATTTCTCAAGCAAATAATAATCTAAGAAATTTATAACAATTATCATAACGATTTAATAATTATTGTTAGAAAATTTTTTGTTTTTAATTTGAAAACAAACTTTTCTAATTTCCGATAAAAAATTTTAGCATAAAAATCTAATGCTTAACTTTTAAAGGACAAAGCAAACTAAATTATTTCAACAGTATTATTACTTTTAGAAAACTATAATTTTTTTTATTTTATAGAAATTTATTTCTGTTTAAAGATTTGTTAATCAACTACTAAGCAATTAAATTTTCTAAAATTTTTTTATATAAAAATTTATTGAAATTACTTAATAAAGAAATTTGATCTTATTTGAAATTAAATATTCATATTAATTGAAAATAAAGAGAAAATTTGGCAAAAAATTCGTATTCTTTTAAACTTCTGCTAAACCACAACAGAATTTCTAAAATTATATTTTTATTTTACTGAAATATATAAGGTTTAAAAAAATTTATTTCTTTTTGAAGATTTTCCCCCCAGAATCTTCAACTTTTTAATTCTTGCAACCGAGCTAACAAGTCTGCTTCGGAATCAGCAGCTTCAGAAGCAGGAAGTGACGAAGATGGAGCCTTCAACCCCGAGGAAATGTCAATTCCAATCTCATCTAAAATTGCATTCACAACATTTTCTTCTTCTTCTTCATTATCTTCAGTTAAACTATTCATCGTGTCTTCAACTAATATGAAAGATTATTTTTTAGATTAAATAAAATAAGTTTTTAAAGAAATTAATTTTGTTTAAATTTTATAAAATTTTTTCATACGAATAAATATTAAATAAAACCTTATTAAAATTTTTATTATGTAGCTTAAGTAAATTCTGATTTACTTTAAAAAATTAAAAGGTAAATTCAACAACTTATAGAATATAATTTATCATAAATTAAACCTTAAAAAAAAAGAAAAAAAACTTATAATTATAAATAAGGTTTTGTAAATTAATAAAATTGTGAATCTAAATTATTTTTTATTTGAAGTTATAAAAATTGTAAATCTAGATTACTTTTTATAAGTTGTAACTTCTGTAATTAAAAAAGTATAAATATAATATTTTTAAGGAAAACTAAAAAAGTATTAAAACTAATTTATAATATAAAACTAAAAATAAATTTTAATAGTCGATCTGTTGTATTGATAAAAAAAAAATAATAATAAATCTATTATTTTAATATTTTTTTTATTATTGATTATTATTATAAGTAATTATAATTTATTTATTATTTTATTATTATTTATTATTATGTATTATTATTATTAATATGATATTATTTTTATTTTATTTATATTATTATAGTTATAATTATTTACTATTTATTAAAAATATAGTATTATTTATTTATAATTACTTTTTTATTATTATTATAAAGAATACTTATATAATAACTTATAAATATTGGTATTTTATGATTAAATGTAAAAATAATATTAAAAAATTAAATAAACTAATAAAAAGTTATTAATAATAATAAAAAATATTAAATAGTTTATAAAAATGAGTATAAATAAAAGAATATAATAAATAATGAATATAAAAAGAAAAGCATAAATAATAATTATTTTGTAATATTTATTATTATTTTTTTTTATTTTATGTATAATTATCATTATTATTTTTTTTATAAAGAAATTACTTTATTTATTACTTATTTATAGTATAACTTCTATTGCTATTTCTAATTAAAGAAGGCGCAATTGTTATTATTTATCTATTAATGTTATATATATATATTTTTATTTATATATTATTCATTTTTTACTTCTTTATTATTATTTCTATTAAGAAAAGTCCATCAATATTACTATTTATTAATTACTTTATTAATAAATATTATTTTATTTAACTCTAAACGATTGCTTTAACATTGTTATATATTTTATTATTTATAAATTATTAATATTATAATTCTTTATTAGTATTCTTATAAATAATAACTCATTCATATTATTATTATTCTCATTTAGTAATAATATATTATTGTTATTTTAATATTTATTTATTTATAAACTGTGGTCATATAATTAAATATTTATTATAATAAAAAAATGTACTTAGCCACAAATTTTTTTTAATATAATTTTTTTAAAAAAATATTAAATATAATAAATATAAATATAAAAGTTTATAATAAATTAATAATATAAAATAAATCCAAGGAAAAAAAAATAATCACGACTGCAATTTTTTGTTCGTAAATGCGTTCATCTTTTAGATTTTTTTAATTATAACAAAATTATAAAGAAATATATTTTTTATAATAAATTTTATTAAAAAAATAAAAATTAAAAAAAATTCATTTTTTTATTAGTATATGAGAAAAATTTTTATATATAAATTGTTTTTATATTTACTATAAAATATTTATAAAGCTTTTGTTTATAATGAAAAATTTATTATTTACTATAAGATTATAAAAAAAAAAAGAAACAATTCATTATTATATTAGAAAATGCGTTTATTAAAAAATTTGTAGTACAAAAATTTTTATATATTTTCCTTTTTTCATATTATTAATGAAAAATAAAAAATATTACAAAAATTTATTAGTAATGCATTTAACCTTAAAACTTACTTTAATTTCTTATAATAATAATAATTTATTAATATATTAATAATTTTAACATTTATAATATATTTTTTTATTAGTAAGTGCGCTAAATTCTAAAACTTTTTATATTTATAAAATCTTTATTTTTCATTTTTATGATTTTTAAGTTAAAGATATCAGAATTCGTTAATTTATTAGTAAATGCAAATAATCTTAAACTTTTTCTTGATTAAATTTTTATATTTTTCATAAAAATTAAAAAAAAAATCTTTATTTTTATAATATTTATAATAAAAAATAACAAAAAATAGAAAAAACAAGTCAATTTTGTATTAGAAAATGTGTTTGATTTTAAACTTTTAAGGTAAAACTTTTTATATTCATAATAAAAATAAAAAGTGCCTACAATTTTTTCGATGACTTTATTATGAAAATATTCAATCGTTGAACTACTCTAATACTTTATATGTATTTTTAACATCCATAACAATTATTGAAGCTGCTTTCAATATTTTAATGAAATTTTAATGATTTTATTAAGTTTTCAAAGTAATTTAATTACTTTTTTTTTTTCAAAACTATTAAAAAGAAATTTTTTTTTTATTAGTAAACGTGTTCAATTACAAAACTTTTTATATTCATAACAAAATAAAAATTATTTCACTATATTTAATAAAATTTTAACTACTGCATTAAATTGTTAAAAGTACCCAAATTACTATTTTTTTGATATTTTTTAGTTAAATGCGTTCAATATTAAAACTTTTTATATTCATAAATAAAAACGATTCATTTTTTTTATGAACTTTTATTACTATTTACCTTTTTCATGTAGATACTTCTATAAAATAATAAAACTATTAAAAAAAATTAAATTTTTAATGAATCGCGTTCCATATAAAACTTTTTATATTTATACCAATAAGAAATAATACTTTTTAAATTTTTTAATACAACTTTAACCAGTAAAAAAAAAATTCATAGATAATTATAATTTTTATAATAATTATATTTTAAAATAATTTTTTTTATTAATAAATGCGTTCAACTTTAATACTATTCTTAAAAATATTTATAATAATTAATATTAAAAAACATTTAAAAATACGCAATTTTTTTTTTACTTCGAATGTAAAATTTTTATATTTTTTCTTAGGAAAACTACTAAACTTGTAATTTTTTTCTCTCGTAAAGTTTTTTACTTCTAAAACTTTTTTATAGAAAAATTGGAGTTTACAAGTTTGTATATAAAAACTTCAAAATTTTTTTTTTATTTTTTTTATTAAAAACAATATTAATTATAAAAGTTTATAGATTTTCAAGTAAAATGTTTATTAATTTGTAATAAGTAGACATTATTTATAATAAGTTATAAACAAATTTTGTACTTAAAAAAAATATGAACTGTTTACATTGGAAATAAGAAAGTTTTCTGATTTATAAATTTAAAAATGACAGTTTTACATTATAGTAATAAACTTTTTAAATATAAGAATAAAAAATTTTAAACATAAATTCAATACATTTTAGAAATAAAAAAAGTTTATTTACAAAACATAAACTTTTTTATTATATAAAAAAAATTTATCAATATTAAATAAAGAAATTATTAGTTAAAAAAAATTTGACCAAGCATTATTATTAAAAGATATAAAAATTAATATTTATAATAATAATACAAATTTAGATAATGAAAAAATAAAAATAAAAATTCGTATTTATAATTATAAAGATAATTCAACATTTATGTAATAATAATTTAAAAAGGCGCTTAAAAAAAAATAAATACAAAACTATTATATAATAATAAAAATTTCTATATAATAAAAATTGAAGAATTAATATTAATAATAATACGACTTTTATATGATAAAAATTAAAAAATTTATAAAAATAATAATTATACAACTTTTATATAATGAAAATTAAAAATTCATATTAAGATTAATAGTTTTACATTTTTTTATAATAAAAAATAATAAAACTCATATTAAAAATTATAATAATACAACTATTATTTAAAAAATTGGTAAATTTACATATTAAAAATTATAATAACTTTTATATAATAAAAGATGAAGAGGTTATGTTAAAAATAATTATACAACTTTTATTTATAAAATAAAAAATTTATATTAACAGTAATAATAGAACTTTTACTTAATAAAAATAAAATTTAAAATTGCATATTAAATAAATAATGCAACTTTTATATTATGAAAAATGATATTAATATATATATTAAAGATAAAATAATACGACTTTTATAAAATAAGAAAATAAAAAATTTATATTAAAAATAATAATTATAACTTTTATATAATAAAAATAAAAAAATTCATATCAAAAATTATAATAAAACTATTATATAATAAAAATGACAAAACTTAATACAACTTTTTTTTAGTAAAAAATATAAAATTAATATAAACAGTTATTAATACAACTTTTCTTTATAAAATAAAAAATTTATTTTGTAAATAATAATAATATACAACTCTTTTTTATAAAAAAATAATTAAAAAGTTCTTAGTATTAATGATTTACTTAATTCGTTACGAATTCCAGCGAGTTCGCTCTCTTTTTGGTAGTTGGCCATCGTCTTCTGCACGTGATGGATATTCATAGATTTATTAGCTCCTGCCATTACTTTGGAGGCCGCTGGAATTATAAATATTTTATAAATAATTAATAAAAATTCTTTGGTTAACGGATTATAACTACCAATTAATTTACTAGTAAAAAGATTTATTGATAACATTTCTTAAATAAATTATTTCGATTGGCTAATAAAATGGTTAAAATACTTGATATTAATTTTATTTTTTATATTATTGTTTAATATTTATTTGTATTATTTTTTACTTTATACTTAAAAATTATTTTTTTTCTTGATATTTAATATTAAAATAAAACGGAATATATAAATATTAGTTATATAATAAAATATATATTATTAAAAATAAAATAAGAAATAGTAAAAACTTTCATTAATATTATTACTAAAAGTTGATTGGCTAAACTGATTTTTAAATTTTATTAATAAATTACTTACTAATAACAAAAAGTAAATTAGTAAAAAGTTTTAATAAATAAATAAAAAATTTATAAAATTTTGATTGGCTAAAAATATAGTTAAAAAACTTGTTCATTATTATATAGATATATTTATATTTTTTCACATCTTTATTATTAATTCCTTTTTTCTTAAGTTCTAATAATAAAAGAAAAATAAATAAATAAAATATATTTTATAACTAAAAATATAAAAAGCAATGCAACTTTAGTTTTGTATATAAATATGAAGTAACTGAAAAAAAAATACAAAAATCAAATGAATATATAAATAAGTAAAAAAAAATAAATAAACATATAAAAAAGTATTATAATCATTAACAATATTAAAAAAATTAAATAAGCGTATTAATAAATATAAATATTTTATAATAAGCTAAAAAAAAAGATGGAGAAACAAAATAAAGTATAGGATAATAATAATAAATAAATAAGAAATTCTATCTAATGTTACTGTATTATTATTATTAAATTTATTAGTCTATTATATAAATAAAGTTTATATAAAATTATGTTAAATAATAAAGTTATAATATATAGTAAATAAATATTAAATATATAATAAATTATATATATGTACATATCTAAATATAATAATAATATAATATTAGAATAACAATTTTTTAAAATTAATATAAATATATAATAGATAAATAGAAAAATATATAATAAAATATTATTAAAAACTGTAATCATAAAAGAAATTTTTAATAAGTAATATAGATATATAATATATTAATATGAAATATATATAAAAGAATATACTATTGAATATATATATCGAGTATATTATAAATATATAAAAGTATATTAAAGAAAGTTGAATTATTTTTTATAATAAATAAATAAAAATTATAATATTTTATATGGAAATATATAATTAAAAAGGGGAAGTACGAAAATATTAATAAAATAAAGTGTTAATATATATTATATAAAAAGTATTATTAATAAATAAATAAAGATTAAATAAAAAAATTATATAAGGAATATTATTAATTTATTATAAAATAATATAAATAAATAAGGGAAGGCGTAAAATAAATAAACTTTAGATTGTATTAAATAAATATGAGACATATACTTTCTAGGAAATATATAAATATATTATAAATAATATATATTAAATATTCAAAATTCTTGCCTTGAACTGAATTAGCAACTTTACTATTGATATTCATTTCTGAAATATTCCCTCTGAGCTCGTTAAACTTTTTATAGAGATGTTGTTATATACTAGGAATTTTTAAAAGTAATATTTATTATGAATATTGTTACCGTTATTAATTTTTCAGCTTAAATACTTTATATTATTATTTATAAAATCGTCAAATTTTTTGTTGAATATTTATTATTATCGTTATTATAATTATCATTATTAATTTTTATAATGAAATATATATTATTATTATTATTAATTGTTATAAATTTGTTAAAATATTTTATATCATTACTTAAATATATTTATTTATAACTATTATTATTTTTTGTTAACATACTAAATAATATTATTATTAAATTTTTTAGATAAAATATATTATTATTACCTAAAAATTATTATTTTTTCAAATTCATTTTTAAGAATATTGAATATTATTATTAAAAAAAATTATTACTACTTGTTATTATTTTTTGTTAAAAAATTTATTATTATTATTATCTCTTTTAATGAATTTATTTGTAAAAACATTTAATCATAACATCTATTATTATAATTTATTGTAATAAATTTTTAATGAATTTATTAATAGTACTTTATAATTTTTGTCAACTTTATAATAATTACTATTAATTAATATAAATTTATTTGATAAAAAATTGTGTATTACCTAAAAATATTTAATATTGAGAAATATTTTGTTATAAATTTCTTTATAAATATTGTATATCTCTTATACTAATTTATAATTAATGTTATATTTGTTATATAGTTTTTTGTTATAATATAGTATATATTATTTTACACATAATTATAATATTTTGTTAAAAACTTCCTATAAAAAACATTTTATTATTATTATAATTTGTTATAAATTTTTTTAATAAAATATTGAATATATATTATTATTACTTATAAATATATAAAATTATTATATTTTGTTATTAATTTATTTTTAATATGATATCGTATACATTATTATTACTTATAAATAATTATAATAAATAATATATTTTCCTATAATTTTCTAATAGAGAATATTTTATTTCTTATAAATATTAATGATCCGTTATATTTTGTTATAAATTTTTTTAAAAATATTTTATAAACTTTTTTGTTACTTATTCTGGTTAATTATCGTTTAATGTTATTATTACAAATTTTTTGTTAGAATATTGTAAATTATTATCATTAATAGATAATGTTTAGAAGAAATTAAAAATAGTGTAAGATTATTTTTTTTAAAAAATATTTTAAAATTTTTGTAATATTTATTACTATTTTCATGTAAGTTATAGTAAATATAAAAGTATTACTTATTATTATAGTTAGTAAAAAATGCAAAAATTTTTATTACTATATAAGATAAAATAAATATTCATAATAGTATTACTAATAAGTATAACATCATTATTAATAATAAGTATAACTTTAAATATTTTTAAGATTAAAGTAATTAGTAATTATAAAATTTAATTCTAATTAAAAAGAAAAATAAAAAGTAGTAATTATTAAAAAAACTTAAAAACTTTATTATTTTAATAATATTAAAAAAATAACTTTTAACAAAGAGTAGAAAAATAGTATATTCTTATATATAAAAAAATTTATCATAACTTTCGATTCAGTAAATCTTTTATACAGCACAAAATCTAACTACATAATTGAAATAATTGCTAAGGATAGCTATAATAACAAGTAAAATTGAGGAATAGTTATTAGTAGAAAAGATTGTTAGCAAATCTAAAAATATTAGTAAAGAAATTTAAAATTAAAATTTTAAATTCCTATAAATTTATACTAAAAGAAATAAGTTAAGTAGCTACAAGCATAATTATTATTTATAATAAAAAAATAATGAAAAATAATTTTTTTTTTCGAATAGCAATTTGTATAAGTAATTAAAAAATTTATAAAATTATAAAAAAATTATCGCTTAGCAAAAATATATAAAAAGTAATTATTATTTGTAAATGATAAATTGATATTAATAATAATAACGCCGTTAAAAAAAAAGTAGAGTTTAACAGATTAATTTATAACTTGCAAAAAATAATTATTTTATTTTTCATAATCCCGTTTAATAAAAAAATTAATACAACCTTCTCACTTGTTTAAAAGTAAAAACAGTTTAAGAAATTTAAAAAAAGTTACCAAAAAAATATTTGCAAACGATAATTATATTTTTATGAAAAAGAAGCCTTAAAATTTAACTTAATTTTTTTAAATTTTTTTTTTAAATTTAGTGCAAAAAAATTTACTTTGTCCTTTTAAAATTAGTAAAACTTCGTACTCTCTTTAAGAGTAGATAATAAGGTTTAATAAATTTATAAAAAAAAAAAATTAATGATAATTTTATCATAATAATAACGCCTAAAAAAAAAAGTAAATTTTTAAACTAATTTAAATAAAAAATTAAAAAAAAATTAAAATTTTACAAAAAATAAATACTTTGTCTCCTTAAAATAATTAAAATTAGTAAAACCTTCGCAGTTGCCTTAAAAGATTTCTCGCGTTGCTGTCTAACGCCGACAATTTGCTTTGCCAGCGCCTTTACTTCTTCTTTGCTGCCTCGTTGCGCAGCTTTTTTAATTTGCAATTGCTTATAGATTTGTTAGTTCAGTTTTATAAAAAGATTCATAATTATAGTAAAAAGTTAAAGTAATTTTTTTTAAAAAAAATTATTTATTATACAAAACTGCATTTGCTTAAAAATCTGTTAATCTAGATTATAATTAAAATTTAAAGTAAGTTTTTATATTTATATGAAAATTATGTTGAAAAAAAATTTTAATTTTGAAAAACTGCAGTTGATTACAAATTTGTTAGTTCTTTTTTTTTTAAAAAAAATTTATTGTAAACGAAATTAAAGAAAAATACAATTTTTATTAAAATTTACGTTATATAGATAAATCTAAATTAGAAAATTGCAATAACTTATTGATAGTCCAGTTTTTATAAAAAGATTATTATAACAAAAATATAAAATAAATTTATTTTTCAAATATGATAATTATGTTATTAAGAAATTTTAATTTTAGAAAACTGCAGTTGAATATAAAATTGTTAGTCTAGTTTTTATTTAAAGATTCTAAGTATAAAAAAATTAAAGGAAATTTTTTCTTTTATGTGAAAATTACGTTAAAAAGAAAATTTATTATAAAAAATTGCAGTTGTTTATAACTTTGTAAGCCCATTTTTTTAAAAAAGGTTATTATTAAAAATAAGCGTTAAAGTAAATATATTTTTTTTATATATGAAAATTACGTTATAAGGAAAATTTATAATAAAAAACTGTAATTGCTTATAAGTTGTTAGTCCAATATTTAAAAAAAGGTTGTCATAAACTAAAATTTATAAAAATAATACATTTCTTAAGTTGCAATTACTTAGACGTTAGATATTGCATTTTTTTTTTTTTAAAAAAAATTATTTTAACAAAATTTACAATACTTATATTTTTTATGTATGAAAAGTACATTTTTTTTAAAAAAACTTTATATCTAAAATTGCAATTACTTATAAATCTGTTCGTCCACTTTTTTAAAAAAGAATATACATATAAATAATTTTGTAAGTGAATACTATTTTATACACATAAAAATTACGTTACAAAGAAAAATTAATAATAAAAAACTTCAAATTTAAAAAGAATTATAATTATAGAGAAATTAAAGTAGATAAAATTTTAATAAGAGATTATATAAGTAATTTTAAATAGTAATAGTAAACTACAATTTTTTTTTCTTCATTATTAAGTTTAGCTCTTTCTCTTTCGAGTGTGCGATTAGCTCTTCTAACCGCTCTCAATTCCTCTCGAGCCTTTTCTTTTATAGGCGTAATCATACAAACCGTTAAAGTTTTTCATTTGTTATTTAAGATGATGTAAATGTACCTTCTGGTGTTTTTTTTCTTCCAAACATTTAATAAATAAAGTGTCTCGAAATTATATGGGCTATGAAAATTATTAAAAGTAGGCGTACGCTTCAATAAAAAGTTAGTTTTACTGTTATTTAAATTCAATGATGTTTGAACATTATTACCTAAAAAAGTTTTATTTTTAAAATATTTTGCTCCACGTATTAGTTTTTACACTCAAGCTTCGTCTTTAAAATATTGACGACGGTATAAAAAGTTATTTTATAGAATTTGTATAGCAAAAGTTTATATAAATATTTATAATATGTTTGAGAGCTAATTAAAAAAAATCTTTAAAATATAAATTCCTAGTTTTTTGAAAAGGCTGGTGCTATATACTATTTGGAAAGAATAAATTAATATAGTTCTTATATTTTCAAAACTTGTATAAAAGAAAGTAGCGCAGACTCACTTTAATCACGTTTTGCTTTTTTCTAATGTTTACACATAATGATTATTAAAATATAGATTTATAATAAAATAAAATATAAATAACTTCAATCAATACTAAACTTTGACATACCTTTATACAAAAATATATTTATAAAAAATATCGTTAGCTCATACATCTATTTTTTTTTATTAAACAGTAAAGAGAATATTCTTCGTTAGATAAGTAAAACCTTTAAGTTTTTAAGATACAAAAAATATTATAAAAAAAATTTCTACGTAAAAGTTTAACTATTTAGGTGGATACAATTCGCCTTCTTTCTTATAATTTATATTTACTTATGAACCACACTATCAAGTTGTGCCTTTTTTTCATAATTAATAAATGAAGCAATTGAGCAGTTTTTGATAGAGAAACCTTGGCTTTATAAAATTGTATAACTTTTTTTTTTGTTAAAAGGAAATGGCAACAGCATCTTCTTTGAAATAATTACACATAATAAACTAAAAAGTTTGGCCTTTAGAAAAATAATTTTTTTCCATAAGTTCCTCTGAAAAGGCACTGCGATCTTTCTTTAAGCTTTGTTTGTAAAATTATATCGATGTACTGAAAAATAAAAATTCGTAAATTATCTGTCATTATCTTTTAATGTAAAGTTATCTAAAGTCTTTTTACCACCAGGCTCCATTAGTATAATATATTTTTATTTATATTTCAGCTGAGCTTCAAAAAAACCTATAATAAACTTTGTAGTAACAACTAATATATTACTTAAATCAGTTATATAGTAAAATTTTAGAGCGTTGGTTTATTTTTAGCTTCCATCTTTAATTTTATTACTTTAAGCTTGGCCATGACTCTTGTTAGAAATAAATTAAATATGGGATTTTAAAATATATAGAACGGCTGCAAAAGGTATTTATTCTAAAATATTACCAGCAAGACCCCTCTTTTGTTTATAAATTCTTGGAGATGAACTACTTTTAAATTAGTTGCTAGGTAATATAATTATCTTTAGCTTTGAGATCTAATGATAAAATTATAAATAATAAAATGCGTTATCTACGTGTCTTTCTTGAGTGCAAATAGATTGCAGTAAAAAAAATTGATAATATTTGTCTACCACGAGAATCTTAAAAGGGTGAATTGTAAATTAATAAAAAACGGTTTAAATAAGGAAGAGAGGCAAGTTAAATAGTAAAAGTAAACATACCGAAATTTAGAAGCTTTTTTAAAAAATTTATAAAAAAGGATGCTAACATTTTAAGGATAAGAGCCTTAATAACGCGTTAAGTCAGTTTCATAAAGAAATTTTTTTTCAAGATTTTTTACAAAATGTTAAGAGTTTATAATTTCTTTTCAAAGTGATGTTAAGGCCTATTGATTATAGTAGATAGTGGGAAACTAAACTTATATATTTTTAAAATATAAAGCCATTTCAGCTTCTTCGCTCCCTATAAGTATATAAACTTATTGTTAACAAGTTATTAAATTCGTAGTAAAACTATAATTATTAAGCATAATTATTGGTATATTTAAAAACTATTTATAATGTTCTTCAGTAAGGTGGATTTATAAATAACAGTCGTGCAGCCTCCCAAAGTTTCCGTAGGATCGCGTTAATTAAAAAAAAATTCTTTAAGTTGTTTACTAAATAATCTGTTTAAAATTTTGTATTTTCTTTGTTTTAAAAAAGCATGCCGTCTTAACTAAGGTGAGTGATTGCAATAACTAAAGAAATTAAAAAACTGTTAAAAAACTTAATCCAGCCATCTAGCTCAAAAAAAAAAGGTGCCAAATAGTATAATAGTCATTGGCTTAAGAGACATTCGCTAACTTCAAGCTATAGTTCTGCTAATTTTAAATAAACTTATTTTGAGCTAATTATCGAGTATATTAAAAAAAATAACAGTAGCTTAACATCTAAACGAATGCACTATGTAACTTTTAGGATGTACAGAAATAATAGTCTTTAAAAATGTTATTTTTGAAATATTCGAAGAAAAAGCTATTTGGCTTAATTATGGCTGCTTTGCTTGAATCATAATTTTTAATTAATATATAAAACAAAAATGACTGGTACTTAAATATCCTTAAACGACTAAGTTTTATAATAAAGAGATAATTATTATAATAATATGTTCAAAGTGAAAGTTATTGAGCTAAACTATAAGCCGCTTCTCCCTGTGGAAGTTTTTTAAAAAACACATCTCGGTAAATAATAAATTTTATTTAAATATATATCGAAAGAACCATATTTTAATAGTAATAAAGATAAAATATCAATTATTTTATAACATATTTTATGTTGAGGACCTCGAAAGAAGATTTCAGTAGAAATTAATTACAGCTGAAAAATCTTCGTTGAAGGATTTATTAATATATACAATATTCTTCAAAAAAATTAATTAATACTGAACTTTTACTTTAATATATACTTTGTGTAGAAATATAGGCTTACTAATACTATATATAAGAAAAGCGATGTCTTAATATTTTAAAAAATACAAAGGAAACTGCTTGCCTTCCCTAAAGGAGTTTTAAATAATAATCCTCATGACAATAAGTGGAGGTGGTTACCATTACTATGTGCTTAAAGCAATTCTGTGTTTGATCTAAATAGTAGTCAGAAGCTACTACTACTTTAATAAATAATATTATAGTAAGTAATGTAACATAATTTGCTAATATAAATGTTTTATTATTACTAATTTACGGGATTTCTAAGTTTTAAAGGTTAATAATTTTAAAAAGAAAAGGAATATATTTATAATTTTAAAAATTCAAGAAAATGAGTGTTAAGTTTTGGAGACCGGGAACTGTTGCTCCCGGAAGCGCTTTAGAGCGAGAAGAAGAAGGAAATACAATCAACGTTCGTAATAATAAATTATATTTATTACTAATTAACATTTCCCGTATATATAAATTAATTAAAGAGTAGTGGCTTTATATAATTGTATTTGCTTTTCTACTAGGTTTTTAAAGAATTTATATTATTTAAAAAATTTTATGAAATCAAGCGATTTTTAAAAAGTCGTTAATATTTTTTTTTTAAAATCGTTTTAGGTACAACCTTTCGTGAATCAATTTGATGGCTTAGAATTAGAAGAGCAACGCAAGCGCCTTCCTATTTATAAATATCGGAGAGAACTTCTTTATTTAGTGGAGAATTATAGAACTACCGTTATAGTTGGAGAGGTTTAATAATTAGTTATATCCATTTTTTAAACTGAAGGAAAGAGAATTAAAAGAAATTTATTAGATAATCTTTTATTATATAATTTTAGCTAGTAAAGTTTTTATTGGGGCTGAAATGAGTAAATAAATTTTATTTTCTAATAAATTTTTGTTTTTATTAAATTAGCATAAGAAAACTTTATTTTTTATAGTCCCTTCTGTCAAATGAAATTTTTTTAAAAAAAAATTTAATTTTAGATTTCGTACAATACTTTTAAATATTATCAATTATAATAAAATTATATTATTAATATTTTTAGTATTAAATAATTTTTTTAATAATAAAAAATTAAATAAATAAATTTATTTTTTTTATTAAATTCGATTTTCTATATTATTTTACTTTATTCTATTTAAAATTTTTAGAAAGTATAATAAATTTTTATATATATTATTACAAATTTATTATTTATAATTTAATATGAGATATTTCAAATGTTTTAAAATTAGTTTTTTTAATTTTTGAATTTTTTTTTAACAATCCTTTTTTTACCTTTTTTTTGTTTTTTATTTTTTACAACTAAAAGTTTTTAAATTAGTTGTTTGTTATAAAAAAATTTAAAACTAATAGATTTATACTTTGTGATGACACTTTAAAAAATATTTGCATAGGCTAAGTATTATTTTTTGAGAATTTTTTTATTAATTTATAATTGATTTTTATAAATTATTTTTTTTGGTTAATATAAATTCCCTTTTCATTACTTATGTTCAAAATTTCTTAACAGCTAAAAGTTAAAAATAATTTATTTGGTAAAAAAACTGATAAATATACTTCTTTTTATAAGAAAACTTAATAGATTATTTGCAGAGGCTACCCAAATTTTTATAGAAAACCCTTTTATGAATTATCAATTTTAAATTTTTTAATTTTTTTTAACAAATTTAATTATTATAATGGAATTTAATATTATTAATATTTTTAAGCAAAATTTAAATTCCAAATATTTTTTATTATTGATTAATTATATATTTATAATTTTTTATTGTATTAAAAAAATATATATTACGAAATTCAAGTTATTTATTAATTATAAATCATTCTATCTTTTAATTTATTTTAAATTTCTTTTAAGTATAATACAATTTATTTTTTTACAGCAAATTAAACTAAGTTTTACTAATTTTTTATTTTAATATCTTAATAAAATTTCTAATGAATAAAAATTTATTGTATTATATATTTTATATAAAAGTTATATACAATTATATGCGAAGTAATTCTTTTATTTGTTATAAATTTTTAATTTTTATTATTGCTTATGTTAATTTTTTTAATAATTTCATATTTTTTTAACTGCTAAAAAATAAATTTATAATAAACAAAATTGTAAAATAAATTTTTTATAAACTCTAAATAAAATAAAACTAATTACTGCTACTTAATATTTTTTAATAAAATATAATAATTTTTATTTTTTTATTTTTTTTTCACTTTTCTTTTTCAAATTCAGACGGGATGCGGAAAAACTACGCAAATACCACAATATTTACATGAAAGTGGTTGGACAGAAGGTGGGCGTTGCGTGGTAGTTTTTTTGTTATAAAAATTTATGCCAATTTTTTAATTATATTTTTCAAAATTTTTATTAGTAAAAAGTAAAGTTTGTAAGAAGAATATATTTTTAACTAAATTTTTTTTTTTTCAGAATAATAATTTTTTAATTTTTTGTTTTTTTATTATAAAAATTAAAGCTAATTTTTTAATATATTTTTTTTTGAAAATTTTATTAGTAAATAGAAAATTTTTATATAAAAAATTTTCTTATTTATACTTTAATAAGAACTAAATATTTATTAAAGATATTTTTAATTTTTTTCTAATAATTAATAATTTGGTTTTTTTATTATAAAAATTTAAGCTCATTTTTTATGATTATTTTTTTTGAAAAAAATATTTTAATATATAAAATTTTATTATTTTATTAAAACTTTATTATATATTTTCTGTATTTTTTTCCATTTCAGTGATTAAAATTTTATTTTTCTTATTTATAAAAATTTTACCTAATTGTTGTGATTATATTTTTAATTTTTTATTGGTAAAAAGTAATTTTTAGTTATATAGAATTTATTAATTTTTTAATAAGGAGTAAATATTTATAAATTTTTTTTTTAATTTTATTTTATTTAATAATAATAATAAATTTTAATTTTTTATTTTTTTTATTAATAAAGTAAAAAGTAATTTTAATTTTAATTTCTATTTTTTTTAAGTGAATATTTATCAAATACTTGTCTTTATTTTTTTTATTTAATAACAATTACAATTATTGTTTTTGGGTTTTTATTAATAAAAATTTTGCAGATTTTCTTTTGATTTTGAAATTTTAAGAAAAAATTAATTTTTATTTATATAAAATTTTACATTATTATTAATAAGAGGTATTATTAATAATTTTCTCTATATATATTTTTTATTATTTATTGAAACTCAAATTACAAAATTAACCGGAAATTTAACTTTTTTTTAAAAGTAATTATTTTTTAGGAAAAATAACGATTTATGCTGATTTTATTTACTTTTGAGAATTTACTTAAAGCAACTTTATAAAAAGTTTGCGCGTTACGAGTTCTACAGACTACCAATAAAACTGATCTTTAACATGTGAATTATTAATTTTAAAAATCTTAAATCTGCGAATGAGAAGGACTATTTCTCCTTAAAAACTTTATAAGCGAAGTATATAATAATTATGTTTAAGTATACTACTTGTTGGAGGAGAAGAGAAAAGAAGAAACAAAGTTTTATAAGTAAATTATAATTAGTTGATTGCATTAAGCTGAATTTATATACATAAGTGGTCTTCTTGTGAAGATTTTAGAAGAAAATATAATTTTATTATATTATAATCAACAATACAATTTTTTTTCTGGGTAGCAAAAAAAATTTTTTTTAAAAAAGTACTGAACATATGGATATGCATATTTAGTAAAACTTTTTTATAAAAAGTCTTTTACTTGTGGAGAAGCTAAAGAGAAATCTGATTTTATTTTAGTAAAATTTTACAAAAAAATATTTTTTTCGAAGCAATATATATAAATAAGTACTGAAAATTTTTTTATGCATATTTAGTAAAACTCTTCTTTTTAACATAATCTGATTTTTTTTTATTAAAATTTTTTAAAAAAAAAAATATTGAAAATTTTTATATGCATATTGAGTAAACTTTACATAAAAAAAAATCAGCGAAAGATTTTTAATATAATCTAATTTTTTTATTAAAATTTAATAAAGAAAATATTTTTTTTTCGGAGTAGCTAATATTTTTATTACAAAAGTTCTGGAAATATTTACATGTACTTCATATTTTTTATATTTTCTTTATACAAAAAGTGGATTTGCTAGTGGAGATTAGGAAAAAAAATAATTAATTTTTTTTAAGTTTGTTTTGCTCCTATTCAAAGAGAAACCCGACTTTAGGGTTTTTTTTATAATAAAAGCTTAAAATTTACTTTAATATTTTGAATACAGAATTTTATAAAAAATTAAAACTTTTTTTTTAGAACCTTCAAAAAATATTTAAAAGGAAAAAGGCTGTAACTAATTATTTTAAATGCATATTAATATATAAAAACGAAATCTATATATAAAAAAATTATGAAAGCATTTTATGTAAAATAAAATCTTTTATTCTATTTTTGTTGTTATTTTGTATATTTATTTTAAGTTCTATAATATTTTTTACTTTTATATATTTTTTCGTAGTAATTTTGTATATTTAGTTTAATTTTTTATATATTTTTTCCTTTTAATATAATTTTGCTGTTATTTTGAATATGATAACTTTTCATAATATTATTTACTTTTTAATATATTTTTGCTATAATTTTATATACTTTTATAACTTAATAGTATATTGTAATCTTCTATATATTTTTGCTGTTGTATTTTATATTAATTTAACTTTTTTTTACTATTTTGTTTAATATTTTTTGCTATTATTTTATATATTAATAAAAATTTCATAATATTATTTACTTTTATATATATTTTTGTTATTATTTTATATTTTACTAAATTACTTGTATATAGAAATTTTAAAAAAAGTTTATAATAAAATTTTATATAATAATAGAAAAATAAAGTTAATATAAAAATAGTAGTAGATTTAAATAATAATTATATTTTAGAAATAATAATAATATTAATATCTATATGCGTATTAAATATTAAGAAAATATTAAAAGGTTATATATAAATAATAAAAAAAGGATATAAATATATAAAAAGTAAATAAACCTTTTTATTATGGGAATATGAAGTAAATAAAAAATGTTTTTATATAAATAATATATATAAAGGATATATTTATATAAATAAACTTTTCATATATAAAAATATAAAATGAAAAAAAGTTTATATATAGAATAATAAAGAAAGGATTTGTATATATATAAAGTGAACAAAGCTTATTATATGTAAAAATTTATATATAAAAAAAGTTTATAATTTAAGGATTAAAAAATTTGCATATATATAAAAGTAAAACAAAGTTTATATATTTAAAAATACAAAGAAAATAAAAAAAGGTTCTAATAAATAATAAATAAAGGGATTACATAAACATAAAAGGTAAACAAACTTTCTATATATAAAAAAATTTAGAAAATAAAAAAAATATATATGTAATGTAGAATTAGCATATATGATAAGTAATATACTTTTTATATGTAAATATATATATATATACATAAAGAATTTACATATATATAATTAAAAAAAAATTTAATATTTTTTTCTATATATCTTTATTTATTATATTTCCGTGCATTTTTTTTACGGTTTTTTTGGTTACTATTCGACTCGATTCGTAAATGGAAGAACTTTTTTATATAAAAGTATACATAAATAAGATTTATTCCTTTTTTTATATATTTTAATGTTATGCAATAATTTTTTAATTTCTTTTCAATATTATAATTTAACCTAAAGAAATATTTTATTAATAATTTTACTAGTAATAATAAGTAATGATGAACTTTTTTTTATTTAGGATAGTACTAAAACTTTATAAATATCATTAATAATAATTATTATAAACTTTTTTGATAAAAGTTTGACTTTTTTATATTCATTTTTAAATCTTTTAAAAGAGATTTTATAAAAAATATTGTATTTAAAAATTTTTTGTTATTTTTTTATTCTTATTTTTTAAATATAACTTTTCTATAAATGTTGTGAATTAAAATATTGGTGATTTTTTTTAACATTATTTTTATGAAGGTTACTTTTCTATAAATATAGTGAGTTACTAAAATTTATTTATTGCAGGTTTGCACGCAACCCAGAAGGTTAGCAGCAAAAATAGTAGCAAAACGCGTTGCAGAAGAAATGAAGGCCACGTTGGGCTCCGAAGTTTGCTTTATTATCATTAATATATATATATATATATATATATATATATTGATAATATTCACTATAATATATTTATTTTTTTCATTATAATTTATTTATTTATTACTGTAAAATATTTGTACGAATATCTTATTTATATATTTTTAATACTTTATTATTATAATTATATAATTTATTACTAATTAGATAATACTTTTCTGTATAACATAATAAGTAAATTATGAATTATTGTTAATTATTTTTAATAATTATTATTTATATATAATTTTTTATATAAATTTTCAGTTTTTATAATGTTTTTAACACCAATAATAACTATTGCTTTCTTTTTTAAAGTTTTATAATAAATAATATTAATTATAATTTTCTATTAAAATTTTTTTTTTAAAAATAAATATAATAATATTATAATAATGAAATATTAATTATATGAAAGTCATAATAAATAATATCATTTTTATATTTATTTTTTAATATATTATAACTTTTTTAAAAATAATAATATTCCATGTTTAACTTTTTTTAACTTTTTATAATTATTATGGATATATAATTTTTATATATTGATAATTATAATTATAATAAGTAATTATAATAATATGAAGAGTGTTTGTCTCTTTTTTATTATATATTGTAATCCTTAACAAAATTTTTAGTTTAAATATAAATATTATAATAAATTAATAATAATAAAATATTAATTATATGAAAAGCATAATCGATAATATTATTTTATTTAGTAATATATATTATTACTTTTCCTGTAATATTATAATATATTTAACTTTTTTTTAGCGTTTTTTTATTATTTATATAATTTTTAATAAAATTTAGTCCAAAAATAAAATAGTAACAATTTTTATTATAAATAATAATATTATTATTTTAATATTAAATATTTATTAACTTTTATGATAATAATATTATATATTAAACTTATTCCTTTTTATTTTAAATTTTCATACTATTTTTTAGATTTTATAATAAAAATATAAATTTAATAAAAGTAAATAAAATATTTATACTATAACTTTTTTAATATAATAGAAAGTAAAAACGTTTATTACTACTATTTATTTTTATTTATAACAAAATGTTTTGACAAATTTTTATTTATTATTATTTTGAACCCAAAAATAAAATATAATAATTTATAATAATATGATATTAATTAAATGAAAAGCATTATATATAAAAATATTTTATTTATTAATATATTTTACATCTTTTCGGATAATAATAATATTTTTTATATATTAATCTTTTTTTTAACTTTTTATAATAATTGTTACTAATATATAATTTTTATATAAATTTTTAGTTTAATAATAATAATAATAATAATAACATAATAATAATAAAATAATAATAAGGTTGGCTATGGCGTTCGCTTCGATAACTTTTTCAAGCCAAACTTTACACGTATAAAGTTTGTTACTGATGGCGTTCTTATAAGAGAAATGATGCTCGATCCCCTGCTTTCTGGCTATTCTGTTATTATGGTTTTCTTATTTTTTATTTTATTATTATTTATATTCTTTACATATTATTAATATTCTCTATTTTATTATTACTTTTTGTTTACTTTTATATATATTTTTTATAGATTCTTATATTTTTTATTAATATTTGTATTATATTATTACATATTCTATTATTAGTATGTTTATTTATTTACTTTTAGTATACTATTATTTTTTATATTTTCTTTTTTTTTTATTTTTTTTATTAATTTTTTGTATAAAATTCTGATATATTGTAAATAATATTATTGTTTTATTTATTAATACTTTTTTTTAGTATATTATTATGTATCAAATAAAAATTTTATATATTTTTTTGTATTTACTATTATATTTTATTTTATTATTACTTGTAGTGTACTTTTATTCCATTCTATTTTATATATAAATTTTTTATTTTCATATTTTATAATTTGTTTTTGTATATTATAATAATATTATATAAAAAATTAATTATTTTATATTATTTCTTATTCAATACTATTTTCTTTTATTTATAAATTTTTTATTGTACTTTTATTATTAATTTTTATATTCCTTAAAGTTTTCTATTTTTATAATTTTTTCGTTTGCGCACTTTTTTCTATAAAAATGCAAAGTTATCAATAATTTGACACAGACAAGTAATTGGCGGAGAAATATTATAAAAGGCTGCAGAAAATGTTATTGGTTCCTAATATAGCTTAATTTGTTGCAGTTTCTCTTAAATTTCTTTAAATAACAATTTTTTTTAATTATTGTTGTATATATGTATTTTTAGAATAAAATTGAAGTAAAATTGGCTGTATAATATTTGATAAACGGCAACAATATACGTTACTAGCGCTACATATTGCTTAATATGCTGCAGTTTATTATAATTATAACTATTATAACTATGACGATTATTATTATTATTATTATTATTATTATTATTATTATTATTACTATTGTAAACTTTTATATATTATTTACGTTAATTTATTTTATTATACTTTTTCATATTATTATTACAATTATTATTATTGTTATTTTTAGGTTGACGAGGTCCACGAAAGGGGCGTTTATACAGACTTACTTTTGGGTCTCGTCAAACAAATAATGAAGCAAAGATCCGAACTTCGCTTATTGGTGGCTTCCGGTCACTATTTTTCGTGTGTTTGTTAATTGAACCAGAGCTTTGACCAGTCAAAACCTATTTTATATTAAAATGCTTTGAGCAGCTGAGTGTGCATGTGTGATTGGCCATTAAAAATATTTGATTTTGTATTCGGGAATTTTATGAACAATAATAATAAATAATAGTAATAAAATAGTTGTAATAATAACTTCACTGTTTGTTATATATATTTATTATTTAATTTACTAATTATTATTATTACTTTTTCCCTTGCATATAATAGTAATAGTAATAATAAAGATAGTATTAATAATAATATCAATAGTCATAGTAGTAAATTCACTGTTTGTTATATTTATTTATTATTATTAACAATATTATGTTTTTTTTTCTTTTATATAATAATAGTTATAATGTTTATAGAAACTTTTTTGATTTATTATTTCATATTTACTACTAACTTATATTATTTGTTATACTTTTTTTATATCTTATTATTGTTATTATTATCATAATTTTCATTATTATTCAAGCAACTCTCGACGCTGAAGAGATTGCAGAATTTTTTAATACAAGTAAAAGTAATGAACCTCCTTCAAGCGCTATACTTTCAGTGGAAGGAAGGTTTTGCCTTCCAGCTTTTTTTTTTATGACAATAATAATTATAATAACTTTTCTATAAAAACTCTCTTTTAGATAACCGAAAATATAATAAGTGTAACAGTTATAAAAAGTATAATAATAATAAATTCTCTATAAAACTTTTTCTAAATTTTAATAATATGAAAGCATATTAGTTATATTAAATATAATAAAAATAATAACTTATATAAAATCCTTTTAATATATAATACTATAAATATAAAAGCAAATCAGTTATAATAATAATAATAACAACAATAAAGGCTTATCAAATATAATAATAATTATTATTTATTATAAAATTATTATTATTATTATAATAGTATTAAGGGGAAAAATGCTTTAAAGTAATAATATAGTATTAAAGAAGATAATAATTTTAATAATAGTAAAGTTTTTAATAAATATTAAAAAAATAACTATTTTGTTTATTTTACTTATTCTTATAATTATTATTCTTATTATTGTTATTACTAATTCTAAAAAGGATGCATCCTGTTGACGTTTTTTATCTGCAAAGCCCCGTTCCAGACTACGTTATCGGTGTAGTCGATGCGATTTCTAAAATACATCAATCAGAACCTAGTGGTGATATTTTGGCTTTTTTGACTGGTCAGGATGAGGTTGACAGGGTCGTGGATATAATAAAAGGTTTCATATTTATTGTTATTATTAATATTATTGTTCTCTTTGCTATGAAGAAATCAACTTTGTATTATTTATTTTTCTTATTATTTTTATTTATTTAATAAAGCAAGAAGAATATTAATGTAAATACCGTAAATTTGTGTACTAGTATTTTTTTATACGAGTAATGATTATAATACTACTACTACTAATAATAATACCTTTAGAAAAAGCGACTTCTGGGGAGCTTACATCGAAATATTTATTAAAAGTTTTTCCATTGTATTCAGCTTTACCCTACGAACTTCAAGCCAACGTCTTTCAACCAGTCCGCTCGCACGTGAGAAAAGTAGGAATAATGAAATAATAAATATAATAATAATTTCTTTAAAAAATTTTGTAATAAAAAATATATTATATACAAACTCTAATAATAATTAATTTTTTTCATGACCCTTTTTCGGTGAAACTACTTAACGGCTCTTCTGCTTATTATTAGGTTATTGTAGCCACTAACGTTGCGGAAACTTCAGTGACAATCCCTAACATTGTTTACGTGGTGGATTGCGGATTCGCAAAATTTAAAGCTTATGATCCTTTAAATGGTTTATAGTTATTATATATAATAAATAATTTAAGAAAAAATAAATAATTATTGAAGTGAACTACATAATAACAATAAATTATAATAATTTAGAAAAAGCTTAAAATATTAAAAATTAGAAAAACTGCATAATAATATTATTTTTATAATTGTAATAATAAATTTTGTAATAAAATACATTTTTAATAATAAACATAATTATATTAATTATTAATAATCTTTTTATAGTAATTTAATAAAATAAAAATATATAAAAATATAATTCTTATACAAAAAATAAAAATATTCATAATAGTAATAAAAAAATATATAATAAATAAAAACAACAGTAACTTTTAAAAATTATAATAATATTGTAATGGAAATTTAAAACAAAATTTTAATAAATAAAAAAAATTTATATTATTGTTATAATATAATAATTATAATATTTATATTTAATATATATAAATAAAATTACAATAACTTAAAATCCTATTATAATAGGAATTAAAAAAAAAAAGGTAAAGTTATAATAATAAAAAAATATTATAATAAATATAAAAAATAAACAAATATTAAGTTTAATATTGATGATAATTATACTTGTTAATATAAAAAATTATGTAATAATATTATTTTATATACATAATACTAAAAAATTAATTAATAATAATATAATATAGTATTAATATATTAAATAAAAAAGGGTAAACAAAAGTATTATAAGACTAATAATTAATAATAAATATAAAAATACTATAATTTAAAAATTACCGAATAACTATATTAAATAACTAAATATCAATATGATTAATACGAATAATTAACTGAAATTATATTAATAATAATGAAAATAAAATTTTACTTACTAATATTAATAATAGTATAACGTAAAAATCACAGTAATAGTTATAAAATAATATTAAAATTTTTTTTATAAGATTGATAATAATGATTAATATAATTACATTATAATAATATTAATAAATATCGAAATAAATAATAGAACTTATAATGAAACAATGTAGACTTAAAAACTTTTATATTTATTATAATAATAAATAAAAAAAATCCTCGACTTTTTGCTATAAAAGTTTTATAAAAATTTACATTTTTTTATTATTATCGCTTTTTCTGTTAAAGAATAGAAAATATTGAAAAAAAAAGTTATTAAAATTATTATTGGTTCATCGTTTCGCTAAATCTCTTGTAGGCGTAGAAACTCTTGTAGTGGCTCCAATATCGCGAGCTTCAGCCATTCAACGCGCTGGTCGTGCTGGTAGAACTATTTTTCTTGATGATTCACTTATTGTTATTATAGACCAATAATTTTATTTTAAGCATTTTTAAAAAATGTGAGGGACCAATCAATTTTCATATTTAATTAGAATTTCTAATTTTTTTCCAATTCTGGGCGTTTTCTTCATTTTTTTAAAAAGTCTACTTATTGGCTTAATTTTAATTTTCATGTTAACGAGGTGTTTTTATTGGATGATAATTAATGAAATAAATAATTATAGACTTTAACACGTGTTTATATGTGATGGAATTATAAAAACGATAGTGATTCGTTTAAATTATTATCTTCTGGTACTTTATTGGTTATTATCAGTTATTAATAACTATTATTTAAATGACCCAACATGAGGGGGCAGTACAACTTTTTAGTCTAAATTTCTCGATGATTGATGAACAAGAAATATGGATTCACTAAAATTCTTTTTTTTTCTCTTTTCATTAAATTACCGGCGTTTTATTTTTCTTCAAATATTTATTTAAAATTTTATTTTTGAGTCGTTTTTATATATATTTCTTTGATTTTTATTTAAATTCAAGGACGTGTAAAGGCGGGAAAAGTCTTTCGACTTTACACTGAAAATTCTTATCGAAGCGAACTGCCAGCGAGGACGCCACCCGCCATGCAGAGGACGGACTTGGCTCAAATATGTCTTCAGCTGAAGGCGTTGGGGTTACATATATAATTATTTTTAGTAAACTATTTAAACTCCTATTTATTATTTATATTATTTTTCTTATTATTATAAAATAAATTTTTTATATTTTGTTACTTTTTAGTCCAATTTTATAACTTTTATTATTATTTATTAAAATTATAAAACTTTTTTATTACGATTATTTATTTTTAGATTTACTTTACTTTATTTTCTAGTGCTTTAATAAAACTTTAATTATTACTTATTACAATTTTATAACTTTTCTTTATTATAATTATTTATTTTAATAAAATTTTATTTTCTATTATATTTTATTACAATTTTATATTATTAATTGAATATAATTATTTTTTTTCATAGAAATTTTTGTATTTTATTTTTTAGTACATTTTTACAACTTTTATTATTACTAATTTTTTTAATTTATTATTATAATATTTATTTATTTTTAACATTTCAATTTTTATTATTTTTGTTATATATTTTTATATTATTTTCTATAACATAACTTTTGATTCTTCAAATTATTTTAAAATTTTTCTTATATATTATTTTATTTTTTAGTACTTTTTTCTATAATTTTTTTTATTATAATAACATTTAATATGATTATTTATTAAAAAATTAATTTCAAATTTCTATTATTATTTTTTTGTACATTTTATAATTGTTAGTATCTATTAGAATTATTATAATAACTTTTATTTATTGCAATTTTTTGTATTCTTAAAAAATTCAAATATTTTCATTCTTTTTTATTATATTTCTATGTACTTTTATTTTGTAGTGCATTATTTTACTTTTATTATTAATTTATATTTATTTTAATATCATTTATTTATTATAAGTATATACTTTATATATTTTTCTAAGATTTTTATTTTATTAATTTTTAATATACTCTGATAACTTTTTTATTATTTATCCTAAATTTTCTCTTTTATCAATTTTTTTTAATATTGTTATATCTTTTCTATATTACTTTTTATATTTGATTATTACTTTGTAAAGAAAATTTTTTCCTTATAAAAAAATATTTAATAATAAGCGAAATTTATTTATTATTACTTATTATAATTATTATATTACTAAATATTAATATATCAAAAAAAAATAACTTCTTTATTGTTTTGCTTTTATTTATTAGTATTTTTAACTTTTAGCTTTTAAAAAAACTTTATTTATTCATAGTCTATTTTACTTATAAATAATATTTATATTTTTACATTTAATAAGTTTTGCTAATACTATTTTTTATATATATATTCTATTATTTTTATTATTAATTATTATTATATTTATATACAATATTAATATAAAACATTTTTATATCACCCTAATACTGTTAACATTTTAATTTGGTTAATTTTTATTATTTTTTTTATAATTATAAAAATTATTATACTTATTTATATTCTACTATTAAACTTTTTTTATTTTTATAAGTTTTACTATTATTAATAACTTATACTATTTTTTATTATTTTATTATTTTTAATTTAAAAATAATACATTATTGTTTATACTTTTTTATTTTACTTTTGAATATTAATATCTTATTTCTTCAAGTTTTTCTATTATTTTTATTATTATTTTAATATAACACTTTTTTATGATGTTTATTTATTAAAAAAAATCATTAAACTTTTATTTTGCTTATTAATATTTTTATGAATAATAAAACAATTAACCAGAAAATAATAAAAAATTAAATATATTCATAAACTTTAATACTTTTGCTTCTTTTATGTACTTCTATTATTATTTTTGTTTTTTATTAATAATATTTTCCTTAAAATATGAAAGCATTTTCATTATTATTATTGATGTTGTTATTATTTTTTAAGAGTTGATAATATTGCGCGGTTCGATTTTTTATCGCCACCCACACCGGACGCGCTGATTCGCTCGCTCGATCTCTTATATTCTCTAGGCGCTATCGATGATACTTGCCAATTGACGTCTCCTTTGGGTTTATACTCAATTCTATTGGCCAGGTTAATTTATTAAAAATTTCATTGGCTTTTAGGCGAGCAAATGGTTGAACTTCCAATTGATCCCAAACTTTCAAAGATTCTTATTGTTTCTGGCGAGTTTGGCTGCAGCGAAGAGATTTTGATTGTTTCTTCGATGTTGCAAGTTTGATTAAACTTTTTTTATTATAATTTTATATTTTTATAAAACTTATTATAAGTTTGATATAATTTTACTATACTTTTTATAAAAATTACTTCGTGATATTAATTTAATTATTAAAATTGTTATAAAAAGTATTAGTTATTTTAATATTAAGTTATTTAAAATTTATTATAAGTTTGATAAACTTATAATTATTATTGTTATAAAATATTATTATTATTCTTGTTTAATAATTTTTTCACTATCACCTTTTATTATTATCATAATTAGTATTATTTTTTAATTTTTTTTACAAGTAACTTTTATTATTATAGTTGTTTTATTATTTTTTGCAGCGATTATTATTTATTAATAATATTATTATGATAGCTTTCCTCTAATATAATTTTCAAAGATCTTAGTATTATTTACTTACTCTAATTATTATTTTTATTAATTATTTTTTATATATTAATATATTGTTATTTTAACTTAAAATTATAAGATTTTATAATTATTTTTATTGTTATATTTACTTTTAATATTGATTTTTACTAATATTTTTAGGATGAATATTATATATTATTACTATTATTAATAATAAAATAGATTGAAAACGTGTTTTTTTCACCTCCCAATTCTCGAAAAGAAGCCCTTCGCAAAAAAATGCAGTTTGCTTCTCAAGAAGGCGATCATTTATCACTTATAAACTTATTTAAAGTATATTTTTATTTAAAAAAAATAATATTATTAACATTATAATAATTATACCGATAATAGTAATCATTATAATAAATATATAAAGCTTTAAAGATTTACTTACAATGAATATTATATATTAAAATTATTTTTCTTTATTAATGAGTATATAAAAGTTTTTATTAAAAGCTCTAAAAAGTTAAAAAAAAGTTTATTTATTTATTTTTAATTATTATATTTATAGTAACTCTTAATAGTTTTTATAGGAATAATAATTATTATTATCATTATACTAATTATATATTAAAGTTTATTATGAGTATATAAAAGTTTCTGTTAATAATTAAAAAAAGTTCAAAATTTTCATTTATTAATTGTAAAAAATATTATTTTTATAGTGACTTTTAGTATTAACAATAATGATAATAATAGTTAAAATGTTAAAAGAGTTAATAAAAATTGAAAAATAAATAATTTGATATGAATGACAGTAAATACAGGATTGGTATATTAATAAAATAAATCTGTTCCAGTTTACTAAAAAGTAACCCACTAATATTTATTACGTATTTATAATAGTCGGCAGCAGTGAAATTATATTATAGTTATTATTATTATTACAACTGACATACTTATTTACTTTTTAAAGGCTTTTGAAAAATATGGAAGCCCGAATTGGTGTTCTCGAAACTTTATAAACCGCCCTGCAATGCTGAGAGCTTCAGAAATAAGAAAGAAGTTATTAAAGCTTTTAAGTCGGTAATAGTAATAATAATAATAATAATAATAATAATAATAATAATAATAATAATAATAATAATAATAATAATAATAATAATAATAATAATAATAATAACAGGAATAACTATAGTAATAGTAATATAAATAATAATAAAGGAATAGTAGTATTAAATATAATAATGAAAACATTTTTCATAGGAACTTTTAAAATATAACTTGTTTATAATAATTTTTTATTTATTGTTTAAGAACTTTTATTATTATAATTATTATTTTAACGTTTTAAACGAAAACTTTAAAATTTTTTTTAAATTTCATATAAACTTTTTTTTATTTCCAATTCTTTTATGTAAAAACTTTTATTTTTATTTATTTATAGTAATAATAATGATAACAGTAATAACTTTTATAAAGTAAAACTTATATTATTATTATTTCATTTAAAATTTTTATTGTTTTTAATTTATTTGTGTGAAAACTTTTAGTTTTAAATTTTGTAATAATAATAATAACAGTATAAATCTCGTTATAAAAATTATTTTATACATTAAAAAATATTTTTTATTATTTAAATAATAAAACTTTCATTTTTTTTTTACTTTAATTTCATAAAAAACTTTATATATTAATAATTATAAAATATTAAATTACTTTATAATTTTATCTAAATTCTTCAAAGTTATTATTAAAAGTAAACTTTTGTCCCTTTTTTTATAATATTATATTTATCTTTTTATAATGAATTAATTATTATTTTTTTTTTTTGAAGTTGCTCATAAATAAAAAGTAATGAACAAAATATTTTCTATAAAAAATAATTGATAGTAAAAATATATGAATTATACTAGCAAAAATAATAATATTAATAAAACTTACTAAAAGTATACAGAAGTTTATATTATTTATATAAAATACTAATAAAAAATATTATATAAATTCATAATAAATTTTCATAAGTAGAATAAAAAGTTTTTTTTAAAAAAAAAGTTTTAAGATTCCCCTTGTCGCCTGCAAAAATAACCACGTGGTTATTTTGAGAAATATTCTTACTGGCTACTTTCCAAATGCTGCAAGACTTAATGCTGACGGGGTTATTATTATCATTATAATTATATATTTAAAATTATTTCCATTATTATTATTATTCTTATTTTTATTCTTATTACAATTATTATTACCACTATTATTACTTTATCATTATTTTCATTACTCATATTATAATTATTATTAGACTTACGAAACTGTAAGAGGAAAACAAACTTTACATATTCATCCTTCTTCGGTTTTGTTTGATGAGAAGCCACCCCTCTGGATTATGTTTCATGAAGTTTTTTATATATTTTTATATAATAATAACTACAAACAATAGTTCTTAATCATATCAATTATATTTTCTTTTATTATATATTTATTAATTGTTAATATTTTTTAAATAATTTTTTAATATTTCTATAAAATCTTTATTATTATAATTTTTTTTATTTTTATTTTTTATTATAAATTACTATAAATAATGATTTTTTTATTTATAATTTTCATTATTTTGATTTCTATAAATATAATTTCTTGAGAATTTATATAATTATTAATTATTTTTTAAATATATTTTTTTTACTTATTTTTATATATTTTTTCTTTATTTTTAATTTTTATGAATAATAAATTTTTACTTAAAAAAATTTATAAGCATTATCATTTTTTTGTAAATTTTTAGTATAATTACATTTATTACGAACTTTTACAACTTTAATACACATTTTTTTAATATATAATAATTTTTTTTTACTTAAAAATATATATTATTAATCTCTTTTATTTTTATTTACTAAACTTACTATTAGTTATTTTATTTTTTTCTAACCAAATTTTTTGTTTGTAGTAAATTTTTTTTTAGGTTTTTTTTAATTATTACGAACATTTACAATACTTTAATACAAACTTTTAAAATACTATTTTCTATAATAAATTTCTATAATTTTTTTTTTTAATATTTCTGTTATAGTAAATTAATTATTATAAATTTTTTATATTTTAAGTATATTTTTTTTACTTTAATTTTTTAAAATAATAGTTTTTACTTGGAAATTTAATCATTATTATTTAATTATACTATCTTTTATATAAATTTCACTATATAAAAATTTTTTAATTATATTTTCTACTATTTTTATATATTTATAAATAAAATTTCTTTCACAGTAAAATTTTTATTTTTTTTAGTATTTTCTCTCATTTTAGATTTTTAAAAAATATTTTATTTTGAAAATTCATATAATTACTAATTTTTTTTTAAATTTAATTCAGTATATTAAAAAATTTTTAATATTAATTTTTTGATTTTATATTATTTTTATATTTTTATAAATATTTTTTTTACTGTACAACTTTTATAATAATTAATTTGTTTTAATTTTTTTTATATATTTTATTATTTTATATTTATAAATATAATTTTTTTTACTTGAAAATTTTTAGGATTATAGTTATTTTTTAAATACATTTTTTATTATTAAAATTTTTATAACTAATAATTTTTTTACAGAAAATTTTTAGGATTATTTTCTTTTATGTTCCTAAATTTATTTCTTACTAATTATTAAATTCTAGATTGTCTTAATTTTTAATTTAAAAATTTACAAGTATTTATTCTTTTTTAAATTTATATATTGCAAAATAATTTTTTTTAATTAATTTATTTTATAGAAATTTTAGTAAAATACTTTTTTTTAGTTATAAAAGATTCTTTAATTTTATTTTGTTTTAGAAATTTTTACTTTTTAATTTTGTAATTAATTTTTTTATTTTTATAGTAAATTTGATACTATAATTTTCTTTTAATTTATATATTTTATATTTTGTTATTTTATAAAAAATTTAATATTATAAATTTTTTCTAAAAATTTTTAATTTATTTCTGTTTTTAAACTTTTTAAGATTTTAAATTTATAAATGTTTTAATTAATTTTTTTGGTATTATATTTTTTTATATAATTTGAGTTTATTATTAATTTTGTTATTTATAAAAAATTTGATATTGTAAAATTTTTTTAACGTCTGAAAATCTTTTATTTATTTTAGTTTCTAGAAATTTTTAATTATAAGTTTTTTTTTTAATATTTTATATTTTTATATAAATATTATTTGTTCTAAGTTTTTGAAATTTTTTTTTTAATTATAATTTTTATATTATAAAATTTTATATATTTTATTGATTATAATTGTCAAAATCTTAAATTTATTTTTATGGTTAGAAATTCTTTTTTTATTTATAAAAATTTGAATATTATTAATTTTTTTTTAATTTTTTATTTTGTGAAAGTTTAAAAAAAAATTATTTTATTATATTAAAAATTCTTTAATTTATTTTTAAAATTATTAAAAATCTTATTTTTATTTCTTTTTATCTTATTAAATTTATAAAATGCTAACTTTTTTTTAGTATTATAATTTTATAATTTAGATTTTTCTAAATTATAAGTTATAGAAATTTTTAATATATTTTTTTGGATAAATACAAAATTCTTTACTTTTAGTTTATAAAAATTTTATGTTTATTTATTTTAATTATATTATTAAATTTATAAATATTAACTATATTTTTATTTAGTAATAAATTTTTATTAATTATATATTTTCTAACTTTTAAAATTTTCATTTATTTTTTTAAATTATAAATTCCAGGTTGTTTTAACTTTATTTATATTTATTACAAATTAATCATCGATTTAATTGATATATTTATAAAAATATTTTTTATAGTAACAATTTTATATAAATTTCAGATTTTCAAAACTTTATTTATAGAAATTTTAATTTAATTTTGAATTAAATTATTTAATTTATAAAATTCTTAATTTTATTTTCATTATAAATATATTAAGATTGTCTTAACTGATCGTTCCTACGCGAGAGACGTGAGCTGCATAGAATATGAATGGCTACCTGAATTAGCTCCACATTTTTATGAATATAACAAATTCATAAAAGTTGATAATAAAGATTTGAAGATTTAATTTTTTTTTAAAATTATTGTGAATTTTATATATATTAAATCTTTAGAACTTAATATTTTATATTAGAAATTTTTTTTTTAGTCAGACATCATTAAATTTATTATTAGTTTTGAAATTACTGAAACCTTATTAACTAACTCAGAACAGTTATTATAAATTTTGAAGTTCTTTTAAACTTTTTTAGACTAATTTAGTAAAGTTTTTTAATTGATTAGAAATTTTATAAGGTTTCATTATTTAAATTAGAAATATTTTTTCATATAAAACTTTTTAAATCTATAAAATAGTCAAAATTAAGTTTTATATAAACTTTTTTTTAAATTTATTTAGATTGAGTGAAAATTCCATAAAGAATTAAAATTATTAAATTTTTATAAATATTAAGATTAATTTTTTATGTATAAAAAAGTTTTTTTAAATCGGGCATCTTTAAAAATTAAATTTAAATTTTAAAAGTTATTAAAAACTTATTATTTTAAAACTTTTAGTAGAATTTTAAATTCTTTCAAACCTTCAATAACTAATTTAAGGAAAGATTGATTAAATTAAAACAACCTTTTCTTATAAAAATCTGTTGTTTTTTAGAAACTCTTTCTAATGGACTTCATCAAAAATGGTCTCCAATGCCAAAACTTTGTAAAATTAATACTACAACTAATTTTAATGATTTTTACATTTACTTAAAGTTAAATAAAGATTTGAGGTTTTAAACTCTGTATAAGTCTTATAATAACTATTTTTTTATACAAAAAATAGTTTTCAGAAAATTGGGCAACTTTACAAATACCAATTGTAAAAGTTTTTAAAATTTATCAATAATTAATTTAAAACAATTAATAGAAGCTTTGAAGTTCTTTCAATCCTTCATAAACTAAATTAATAAAGTTTTTAATGTTAATTAGATAACTCTATAAAGATACACATTAAATAAACTTCTCTTATGTAAATATGTTGCTTTAAAATTTCTTTTCTTCGGCCCTCTATAGAAAGACCTCCACTTCTAAAAAATAATTAAAATTATTACGAAGTTCTTATGGTTATTCAAAAACTAATTTTAAAAAGTTTTTTAAATTAATAAAAAATCCATCAAGATTTAAGTTCAAATTTTTTATAAATATTAAAAAATACATAAATCTGTGGTTAAAATTTTTATATAAAAATGGTTTTTTTTTAAAGACATCTTTAAAAACTGCCTTATTAAAATAATTTAATTTAAACTCAATATTAATTAGTTCGTAATAATTGTTAGAAAATTTTAAAATTATATCCATTCTTCATTATCAAAATTATTATGAAAACTTTCTGTATTAGAAATTTCTAAAAAATATATAATTATTACGACTTTTGTAATATTGTCTTTCTTTTTATAAATTTAATAAATTATAAAACAATTAGATCGAAAAATTAATATAAATTTTTAATGGTCTTTTTGAATAAAATTGAAATTTTAAAAGATATAAAAATTTGTTCTTTTTTTAAATTTGTTTTTTTTTTCTTTTCTTTTTAACCTTCAGCTTGTGCGTGACAAGGCAAAAATTTCAAAAATTCTTTAACTCAGATAATTCTTTTTTAATAAAAAGAGGTTCATTTGCAAAGAAATTAACAAATCTGCTTTAACGGCGGGACAGTTATGAAAGGCAATCTTTCTCATTTCGAAAATTTATTTAAACACAAACCTTAAAATCATCTTTCTGTAGGTTGTTATTTTGTAAATAGATAATTCTTTGTTAAAAAAAATATTCTTTGCTTAGCTATTTCCCATAAAATTAATAAGAAGGAAATATAGCAAAAAGATGAATAAATTAAAAATTCGTAATAACTTTTTCTTGGCTAGAATGATCAATGACGTTGCTAAATTGCAGTAGAAATTAACATTTTTAATAAATATGATAAGAGACAAAAAGCAAATAATAGAAACTCTTTAATTGTTGCCACTAAGATAAGTCAAATATTTAAAGTTAATTTTTGTTCTATAGGATTTAAATTACTTAGTTAAAATAATAAATCGAAATTTAATACAAAATGTATTCATTTTTTGTTCAAGTATTTTATAAATAAATTGCCTATAAACTGTAAACTTTAAAAATAAACTTAATTAATTTTTTTTTTATCCTGTGTTTTAGTAATATCATAAAGTAGTACAATAAAATACTTTACTCTTGCTTATAGCAAAACTTGCTGTTAAATAGTATTATTACTAATTTACGTTAATAATTTGTCAAGGTTTAAAATTATACCACACAAATATCTTATTACGTACTTGAAGAATCCTTGTTAAAAATGGTACACAATAAAATAATAATTGCTATAATAATTATATTAAGTTAACCATATAAAAACTAAAAGTATGAAATGCAGATAAATTTTTTTTTATAATAACAATATATACAAAGCCAACGCGTATTACGTTAACTTTTTACGATGTAATAAACTTTTTTTATAATAATAAATATATATAATATTAGACGTCAAAGGACTTAAAAAAAACTCAAAAAACAAAAATGAATAGCGAAAAATAACTTTTTCTATATGTTTAAATTTTTTATTAATAATTATTTAATTTTTTCAAGAAGATATATTTATTAAGTTTTACCACATACGCACCCTCCCAATTTCTCTAAAACAAAGACTACTTTTTTAAAACCCTTCTTTTGCTTAGTTTTGCTAATAACTAATGTTATTTTGCGTATTTCATGTTCAGTTTCTTCTAAAATTTTCATTTATATGCATATTTAATATAAACTTTTTTAAAAGAAAACATCCTTTTTCTATAATAAGAATAACTATTGAATAACCATAGAAAAGCAGCAATAATTATTGGTACCGAATTGTGGGTATTCAGGTAGCAATACCAACGTGCTTGCTGTGGAATCAAGTAAATTGTGCAATTAATTTTTAGTAAGAAAAACGTGGATTTTAACTTTTTTAAGAAAAATTTTCATATAAATTAATTTTTTTCCCTTTCCAACGCCGTTTTCTATTTTCTTTTATTTCGTCCTCACTTTGCTTACTCTTATAAAATAATCGCGCTCCCAATTTTTTTTATCTAAGTTTATTTATTACTTCTAAGAATTTGCTTTTAGTGAAGAGTCTTAGAAGTACCATTATTTAATTTAAAAAAGAATTTTTATTTCGTATTACCTTGCTTCCATTTTCTTATAGCTAAATACTTACATTTCCTTTAATATATAAATATATTTTACAAGCTTTCTACATTATTTTTTTAAAAGTATAAGTTTGCGTTGTATGTTTGCGTTATGATTTAAAGTAAGTAACACCTTTTTATTATTTTAAAATGAGGAACCTTATTAGCTCTAACTGAAAATAGTTGTTGACTTTTTTTTCTGATTTATTATTTATAAACGAGTCCATTTTTAATTGATGACTTTTACTTTTTTTATTAGTTTAATTATTAATTATAGCAGCACATACCCAACTGACACGAATTGATTCGTCTCGATTCAGGCTCACAAAGTTAGTTTTTATATTAAATTAATTTTTAAGATTTATAATTCTTGTAATGATGTTTTGAATTTCTTCATCTGACTTTTTCTGTAGAAAAAAAATCGAGCTTTTTAATACTGAATTTTTTATTATTATTATTCATTAGTTTAATAGTATTTATAATAAATTTAAAGTAATTCTTTTTTAGATTGCTGATATAAAGTTTATAGCGAAAAATAAATTTTGGTAAGTAATTTTTTTTGTATTTAAGTATGATGAGAATTATTGAAGACGTTATTTCTTACGGATGATTTCTTTCATTTAAGTCTCTGAATTTTTAATCAATTTGAAGTTAATTTTAATTTATAAATTTAATTGAACTAACTTAATATCTATTTAAAGAGGTCAATCAATATTTTTTATTAAAAATTAAATTATGAACGTACTAAGCAATTATCGTAAAATAGCGCACGAAGAGATCGTGCCTATATATGAAATTCGCCTCTACCGTCGCTCCTATTCCTTGCGGCTACATGCGGGCAAGTATTATTACTTTAGTTATAGCCCAAAACTTGCTAACTTCATTTTTAAACTTAGTGCTTACAAACGTACTCATCTTGGTTCCTTTTGTCTATAGTCTCACCTCTCGGGTTAATAATAAATTTACTTTATTTTTTTTAATTATTTCGCTATTATTTATCTTAAATAGTTTGCATTCGTATTAAGAATATTACAGGGATATTAAGCAAAAAAAAATGAATATACAAGTATATATTAACAATTAAATTAAGAAAATTTAAAATATTAAATAAAAAAGACAATAAAGCCGTTGTTTAGCGCATTCGCGTAGCGCGTAAGTTTAAAACTTGTATGAAGCTAAAAATAAACCTTAAATGTTTAAAAAATTTTTAAAGAATAAATTTTGAATTATTTTTAGTAGACTGCATCGGCGTAGCGTAATAAAAGAAAGTAAAAAAAAATTATACTTTAAAATATATAAAAAAACGATAAATTGATATAAAGTAAAAAAGTAAAAAGTATTAAGTAATACGCATTTATAAATAAAAATTTAAATATAATATAGAAGTTAAAATCAAAAAAAAAGTACAACACAAGACTGAGCGAGCCGCTTTGGCAGAGCGCTGTAAAGAAAGTAAAAAATATTATAGCCACAAGATAATAAGGATTGTAAAAAATGTAATTTTAAATAAATAATTATTAAATATAAGAAAACTAAGAGTGAACCTCATTAGCTTAGCGTATTCAATAGAGTAAACTTATACACAAACTAATTTAAAAAGATAAATCTTTAAATAATAAGATATTTATATAACAAGTTATGAAGCGGCCTTTAAATTATTTATTGCGACGCAGGAGCGTAGCTTTTTTAATAGAGTGTAGTTAGAGCAAATGATAAATAAAAAATATAACAATAAATTTAAAATTTTAAATGTTATAACAATTAAAATTATACGCACAATAGTTAAAATATATGTTATCAAAAAAAGTTTAAGAAAAGCTAAAAATAAATTAAAGCGGTCAATAATAATTGCCACGCAATAGCGTAGCGTATTATATAAAATAAAGTTGAAAGCATATAATAAAGATTATAAAATACTTATAATACATATATTTATTAATAAAAAAGAGTAAATTTTTACTCCAAAAAATGATAAACGATTTGTATAATAAAGTTTAAGATTTGAATTATCTGAGGAAGCGGTCATTAATATTAACTATTGCGTCGCAAATATGATATAAAAGTTAAAGTTAAACGCAAATAACTAAAGTTTTATGAAAATCTCAAATATTCTCTTAATAACAATTGAAGTTTGAAACGCCTTAGCATAACGTTCCACTACGTAAGAAATAAATTTCAGCATGAATACACGTAATGAGCGCATCAAAGCTGATATTTACTAATCAAAACACGAAAAGTTACTAAATAATATCCAGACTGAGCATAAATTTATAATAAAAAAGGGTTACCTTGGTAATAATAAGATATATTATTAATGTTAAAAATATTTTTCCAATATTACTTTTTTTAGAAAATGGTGAATCTTTAATGGTTGTTTTGTTTAATTTGTTTTTAAAGTTCATGTTTTGGATTAGAAGATTTTGCCAACTTAGATAACAATTGCATTAAGTATTTCTCAATATAATAAATTAGGCAAAAACTTTATAAAAAAGGTACTCGTAAGGAGGAATAACGAAATTTTTTACGATGAAAAGTATTTTTTTCAATAATTAAAAAAACATTAATAGCTTTAATAATTTTAGTTATTTTTAAAATATATGTTGTAATATAAATAGTACAAAACTTTGAAAATCTACTTAACGAAAAGGAAATCAAATTAAAATTTTAAAATGTGCGAAAATTTTTTAAGGTAGATGTACAGAATAACAACAAGAATATAATAATATAAAAGTAAATTTTTCCAATAATAAATTAAACAGATAACAGAATCTGTTTGATAGCATTAGTTTTGGTTAGTTTAAAATTTATGTTTTTAATAACAATAGCAATTAATTTAAGTACTCACGTTTTTTTTAATTCTAATTTATTTACTACAAATTTTAATCCGTCAATATATAAATATATATATATATATAGAATAGTATTTAAAGCTATGGAATTAGCTACTCTCTGAATATTATATTTTTTAATAGTACTATTACCTAGTATTTCATATGTTCACTGCTTAACCTATATCTATAAATACTTTTATTTTTATACATATAAATATACATGGTTGAATATCTATAAAAACTAAGTGCTCTTCAGTAATTTATTTTATGGTTATCCTTAACTTAGGTCAACATATAAAATATTTATAGCAGGATTGCCCTAAAGTTCACTCTTCCTATTCTAACATATAATTGTATTTATGACATACCGGTCTTTCCTAAAACGTTTTGGCCGAAGACGTCACTGACGATCCAAAATTCCGTAGTTTAAAAAGCTTAAGTTCTAGTTTTAAAACTTTTACAATACCATCTTTAATTAATTATAGTTTGTCCTGAATAACTTTAACGGGAATTCCTGTAAAGATTCTCTTTACTTACACTTCCAGAAAAATTAAATCGGTCAGCAAAGCGCTATAGCTAGAGCCTTTGCTTAACAATGCTATTAAGCACTATTGTACGGAAATACTACTCGGCTGTTACTTAAATCATATAGAATTTTACTCCAACATATTTCCCTGAATATTATTATTATGCAACAGACAACTACAACAAAAGTGCAGAATTAAATCCTTGAAAACTACATTTCAAGTTTAGCCTAAAAGTAACTTAATTATTTAAATATATAATTTTAACTCATGCATTTCCTTATGTTCTCAGCTTTTTACTAAATATCATAGATTAAGAACTTTTTACTTTAAGGTAATAAAAAATTTGGTAGTAAGCATAGTATCTACAGTAATAAAAGTGTTAATAGATAGAGAGCAATATTAACCAAAATAGTATGGTAAAAAATTCTGTATTTATGAAGTAGCTTACATATTTTAGTTGTGTTAGGGCTTTCCTGTAGTATTTAATGTTTAAAAAAAAATTAAAATAAAGTATAAAATAAAGGAGTTACGGCTGAAGCCTAACAGGGAACTAATAAAATTGTTTAAATATATGAAAGTAAAGTCGGGTAAATACATAATAAAAGAACATAAAAACAGACAAGTCATGTGACAAGGAATAACAGGGTAGAACTTGAGGGGTCGATTTCTGTGGTATTTTTACAGGAACCTATCAAAATTAGTTGCACAACTAATCGAATTCTTTTTTTTTAAAAATTTTAATTACCTTTTATATTAATTTTTCTTGTAATCATCAACATTATATGTTTTCGTAAATTGTAGACTTTTTATGCGTAGCATCTGTTTCTTTCGAGCACAGGCATTTAACTATTGTGCTTAAGAAAGCTCACTTTTCTGTTATCTTTTTTGATGATGTATAAATTAAGAAAAGAATACAAACAAAAATCTAATAATATAAATTTATTATATAATGCAATAGTCTGAATAAATAAAAGAAAGCTTTTGTCTATGCGTCTTGATTTTTCTTAGGAGTACTTCCTTTTTGTGCTTATACTGATGCTATATAGTGAAACAAACTTTGAACGATAGTTTCCTTTCTACTTAGTATAAAATATGAGTTACTAAAAGCATACTTCCTAAGAAGATCTTTATTATTATAACATTTTATAAAATTTTTTATAGTTTTATAAATTATATTAGTTTTTTAAAAGTTAATTTTAGATTTATAAATTTTATAAAACTTATAAGTTTTGGTATATCGGAGATATAAGAAAGTGGTTCCCAGACAAAATAATCTACCTTAAAGAAGACTAAGATTCTACTTTCGAGGAGTTCATATGAATTTTGGTATACCTTGTAAAATTAGCAAGTTATTTCCGGGCGCTCGAAGATGGCAAGAGATAAATTTAGTTTTAAACTATTACAAGAATACTAAATAGTAGTGGACTTTTTTTTTTAATTAAATACTCAGATCTTTTTGTTCAAGGTTTAGTATTACGAACTAATTCTTTATTTTACGGGTTAAAAAATAGAATTTTTAAAAAATTTTTAAAAATGAGTAGTTCAAAAAAAAAATTCGGACATTTAGCAATACATTTACAATGATTTATAATCAAATTATCATCTAATGCCATAGATTATTTATCACAAATTAAACTAGTAAAGCTTCAACTGTTTATATATAAACCTTAAGAAAGCAGGGTAAATAAAACATAAATTATGAAATTTATAAATAAATTTTTTTATTAAATATTATAAGATACACAAAAATATAATATTTCAAATGTTAAGGCTTCCGAGGTCAAAGAAAACTTTATAATATGTTTTTTATAGTATTAATTATTTAACAAAAGTAAAAATTTTAGAAATTTGTAGTAGATCATCTGTAGTTACTTTCTTTTTAAAAATAAAAAATTTTGATTATTTTTTATTATTAATAGCAATTAACTCTTTTAAAAGGTTACACAAGGTCGACACTAATTAATGTATAAATTTTACTGCAGACTTAAGTTAAGTAAAATTTTATTATTAAATTAATCTATTTACATATATAATATAGCTTCATAAAAGCTTGAGTACAAATCTAATATTTACGCTCGTTTGGTGACATGCCCTAGTTTAATAAAAAGCTTAAAAACTATCAAAGAGACTGCTAAACAGGCGCGATACGAAGAAGACATCAAAAAAATAAATTAAATGAGCGGTTTAAAATTATTTAAGTAGAGTATAATTACGAGGAAAAATCTTTTAAATTTAAATAAGAAATTTTTTAAAAGTGAATACAAAAATTTGCGCTTCAGCTGTAGAAAGGCTCTACTAAAAATTTTATTAAATGTCGTATAACTTAAAAGGTATAAGTGAAGCAGAGAGATATAAAATAAATGACGGTTTCCGAAATATCAAGATGAGGAACTGATTTAAAATAGTGTGAAGTTGGTGGACTTTTGAAAAGTGGCGACTAAAATTTTTGAGATGCTAACTAATAATACTTTAGCCACACATAACGTATACTTGAGAGTAAAATATATACGTAAAGTATTAATGATTTAGACAAGGACTCACGAGACTTACATAGTATTTTAAGTTAGTTTTAGTTAAAAGGATGAAAAAAACTGCTTTATTTATTTAAAAGCTTTTACATTG